GACAGATTCAGACTCAGCAACAAGACTAGCAGCGTAGTCTAGACGACAAGCAGCAGCAAAGTCAACAAGCTCACCAACTAGGGCAGACGCAGTAGTGGACTCAAACGACGGGTCAGCGACAACAGTGGCTAGCAGACGCGTGACAGTAGGGTGCTCAGTACGAGACTGGTCAGACTCAGGGTCCGCAACGTCAGGCAAAGAAGACGCAGGAGGAGACGGCAGAGGAACACTCTGCGGGGGAGAGGAAGGACGACGGACTACAAGGGAAGGGCTGGGGACAGCCGGCTGATGCTGACGAGGAACACGACGACTGGAACGACCAGAATGGAAAGGTGAGACAGGGCGGGACGCAGGCTCACGGCGCTCAGTAAGGCCCCCTGTCTGCTCAGTGTAAGGAGAAGGAGCAGGCAGAGGTGAGCCAGGCTGTAACGGAAGACCAGTAAACGACGGGAGGCTAAGAACCTGGCGAAGCACAGAGTAAGGCGGTGGCAGAGACGACGGAGACGGCGGAGCAAAGAACAGGCGCGACTGTGCAGTGCCACCAGCACCAGCAGCTCCAGCACCCTCAGTAGCTCGTGCACCTCCAGCAGCACCAGCACCCTCAGCAGCTCCAGCACCTCCAGCAGGTCCAGTACCCTCAGCAGCTCCAGTACCTCCAGCAGCTCCAGTACCCTCAGTAGCTCCAGTACCTCCAGCAGCTCCAGCACCCCCAGCAGCTCCAGTCCCACCTGGTGCAGCACCCCCAAAACCGGCACCCCCAGTCCAAGGGTCTCCAACCGCAATGCCACCAGAAGTAGTACCCTCAGACACACCACCGCCAGCCCCAGTAGCTTCAGTACCCCCAGTACGAGCACCTCCGGGACCAGCCACACCAGCACCTCCAGCAGGCAAAGGACCAACACCACTCTCAGCTCCAGTGACGCCAGCAGAAGAACCCCCAGCAGTAGAGCCCTGAGGTGCAGAAGCACGACGCTGATGGCGACCGTACTAGTCGTGCAGCTGCTGGGAGGTGAGAGGCACACGCGGACGAAGAGGGCTACTCCAAGGAGACCGCGTAACAGAAGGCTCAGAACCCTCAGGCGACTCACCCCCTGACCCAGCACCCCCAGGCTCCGCACACGAAGGCGCAGCACCCCTAGACGCAACACCCCCAGGCTCAGGACCTCCAGGCTCCTCACGCGCAGGCTCAGCACCTCCAGGCTCTGCACCCTCAGGCTCCTCACGCTCAGCACCCCCAGACTCAGCACCCCCACGCTGCACACCCCGAAGCTCCGCACCCCCAGGGACAGCACCACTCCCAGCAGAACCGGAGTCACTAGTGACCTCAACAGGCGTAGGGACGGGAGGGTCTATCTAAGAAACACCTGAAGGATCAGGACCTAGCGCAGGGAGGGGGTCTACCTGGGGAGGACCTGGGGCGAGAAAGAGCGGCGGGAGGGGGCGAGGAGCAGTGCGGTTGGGGAAGAGGCGGTAAAAGGGGACCGACTCGTCAAAGGTGACGTCCTGACACGCAAAGACACGGCGCGAGGTGGGGTCGTAAAACTGCCAGCCAGGCGCGTCAGGGACAAAGCCAAGGAAGACGCAAGGAATGGCGCGAGGGGAGAGTTTTTCCGCAGTGGTATCGCGGACAAAGGCACGGGCCCCCCAGACCCAGATCGTCCCCGACATGGTGCGGTTAACAGCGCCACTAACAGACTTACTGAGAAAGGGGCTCGCTTTTCCGTGGGGGGAGAAAGAGCATGCTGCCTTCTCTACCCTGAAACATGTTCTGTGTTCACCGCCCGTACTACGCATCGCCGACCCTCACCGCCCATTCGAAGTAGTTACAGACGCAACTGACATCACCATCGGAGCCACCTTGCTACAGGATTTCGGCAACGGGTTACAGCCCATCACATACAAGTCCCGCAAATTGCATCCGCCCGAGAAAAAATACCCGATACACGATCGCGAAATGCTCTCGATCGTGCACGCATTCAAAGTGTGGCGCTCTTACTTGACCAGCGCAGACGTGACAGTATGGACAGATCACAAGTCACTACATTACCTCCGCGCACAGCCAAACCTCAACCCACGATAGATTCGCTGGCTCGATTTCCTCGAGTCCAACTTTCACTACACGGTCACCTACAAAAAAGGAGCCTCCAACATCGCCGACGCACTGGCCCGCCCCACTACCCAAATTCATGCTATACTACTCGCCCAGACCAGCCCGCTACTGACAGGACTATTTACCCATGGATACCAAAGAGACCCGTTCTTCACAGGAGGCAATTCGTAGCAATTTGCAGCAGCAAAGGGAGTCTATTACGTAAAAGCCGGCACCGACCGCATTTGGGTGCCAGGGTATACTTTGCTAAGGGAACTGTTATTACAGGAGGCACATAACGGCGTTACCTCGTGCCATTTCGGGGTAGAAAAAAGACGGCAGCAGCTGCAACCGTATTACTATTGGCCCAGAATGTTGACCGACGTAATGCGACACGTGGCGTCGTGTCCCACCTGCCAACTCATGAAATCATCACGGAAGCGGCCGGCAGGGCAGCTGCAGCCGATACCACCCCCAGAGCGTGCTTGGCAGCAGGTGACGATGGACTTCGTCACGGGGTTACCGGCTGGGGCAAGTGGGAACGATGCGATCCTAGTCGTCGTCGATCGGCTGACGAAAATGGCGCATTTCGCAGCATGCAAGAAATCCATCTCAGCCGAAGAAACAGCTCGGCTCTTCATCGCTACCGTCGTTCGATTACACGGGATACTAGCAGAAATCATTAGCGACAGGGACACGAAATTTACCAGCAACTTCTGGCGGAACTTGTGGTAGCAGTTCAGCACGCGACTACAGTTCAGTTCTTCGTACCACCGTGAGACAGACTGACGGACGGAACGGACAAACCAGACCATGGAGCAGCTTATCCGAGCCACGTGCGACGACCCAAGCATGTGGGAACAGCAACTGCTACTCATCGAGTTCGTGTACAATAATTCGCCATCCGCCATGACCCAACAGTCACCGTTTTACCTGAACTATGGACAAGACAAGACCCCACAGTACCCATGACCCCGAATCCCGACAACCCCGTACCACGTGCGCAGCAGTTCGCCGAGATTTTACAGGCAGCACGGAGCCATGCAGCAGACGCAATTAAAAAATCAAACGTAATCGCTAAACGCAACGCCGGTCGCCACCACTGTCCCGCCACCTACTAGCCCGACGACTTAGTTTCACTCGACACTCTAAACCTACGCCTGCCCATCACCCCAAAACTCCGCCCTCGGTATTGCGGGCCATTTCGCATAAGCCACATGATCACACCCGTCACCGCCCACCTCCTCCTCCCCGCTGACTGGTACGTCAGCCCGTCATTCCACGTCAGCCTCCTACGCCCTTACGTACCATCCACAAGCCACCTGCCCCGACACCGACCAGCCAGCATGACACAACCACCCACTGAGCCAGTAATTACACCCGAGAAGATTCTGAGCCATCGCGTTCGTGACCAACGTGGAGCACGCAGGATCGAGTTCCTGATTTGATGGAAAGACCGCACCCCAACTGAAGACAATTGGGTTCCCATGGACAGGATCGAAAACCACCCTGTCCTCACCGACTACCTGCGCAGCAGCAATTTCCGATATGTACACGCACTCTCGTAAGGAGGGCCTCTTTGGGGAGGGGGGTAGTGTAATGAATTTTCCATTTCCTTACGCCGCATCCCTTCTTAGCGCGTACATCACTGTAGCACCACAGTCAGCACCGTTACTACTCGCAACTCTCGCTTCGACAATCCTCCCGCCACCTCGCACGCCGCACCCCGACCTCACGGCTCGGCTGGTAACCGCGCTCTGGGCCTCCGCCTCGATATTTCCCAACCACAGTCCCAACCTCAGTCCCAGGCCCGTCGCACGTCACCCACAGTTGGTTACGGTTACCACTGTGGCCTTCGCTATTTAGTTCTCGCTCAATCCTTCCTCATTGTACTTTTGTTTAGTTAGTGCAATTCTAGCTCGCTCACTCAATTGCACTCGTAACAAAGATAGTGACAGGAAATGTCAGCTCGGCACTCTCCAGGTTTTGGGTGAGCTTCTCTCGAGGCTAACTCTTTCGCAATTTTAGGGCGCGTATCCTTGGCGGGCCAGGTTCAAGTTCGAGTTCGAGTTTTGGGGTGGCTACCAGTTTCGTCAATTTCAGCAGGATGGTTCGCGATATTCGTGAAAACAACGGCGGAAGGTGGAACCGAATGTGGAATACGAACACCGGTCGACTTTATGGCCAAACGTGGGCCCGCACGAATTTGTGAACGTGTGTCCTTCTGACCACGTTCAAAGCTGCGGCGAAATCGGCGACGCTGACGAAGGTCATCGTGCGCTATTTGTAGGCCCCTCTGTTCCGTGTTGCCCAGTGACGACTTGGCGCACTGTCAAGAACCCAGACAGGGTAACCTACGAGACGGGTACGCGACGCGAGCAATGCTGTAGAAAGTCGAGTTCGATAATCGAACTCTCGATGTCACATTCGCTTGACTGGAAATTTGCAGGGCGGCTCGGCTATCGAGAGCTGTAATATTCGACTACAGTTCGAACCTAGTTCAAACTGTAAAAACTCGAGTCAAAAAAGCAAACTTTACAAATATTGCCGAAGGACACGCACCCTTACGTGTTTCTCCTCTTTCCTCGTCCAGAGTAGCTTTCCGGCACAAGGCTGTGGACTAACGTAATCGTTTCTCTGAGAGACTGGCAAGAACACCTGTTGGACGTCAGTTCCTTCTGCGAGCGCGACGGTGTCCAGTCTGCCTTTGCCTGCTGTGGTCTGCCGAGTGCAGAAACCCTAATTTGCGTTTCGCGAACCCCAAGTCTATCCGCGCGTAGTCAGGAATTGCCCGAGTCATCAAGTTGGTAACTAGTCAGCAATTGGCAAGGGGCCAGCAGTGCGCAAGAAGCGAGCAATTGGCTCAAAGCTCTCAGAAAGCAGTCAGCAAGCACTCAGCGAACACTCAGACATGGGGACCGAGCGCAAGCGTAAGATCAGCCTCTTTGACGTTCCGCCGGAGACGAGCCGTCAGAAGGTGGACGGATTCGCAGATGCGACGTCGGCGGCGGCGGCTGTTATCGCCGCGGCGTCGGCGAATGTAATGGCCGCGGCGGCGGTGACGACGATAAACCCGTATAACGGCCGGCCGTACACGCAGCGGTATTTCGACATTCTCGAGAAGCGGAAAACGCTGCCGGTGTGGCAGCAGAAGCAGGAATTCGTGGATCTGTTGAAGAAACAGCAGATCATCGTGCTCGTGGGAGAGACGGGTAGCGGGAAAACCACGCAGGTTAGTCGTCGTGGCTCACTACCATACAGAAAGTCTTGAATATTGCCGATCTGCTGAAGACTCATAAGCAGCAGATCATCGTTCTTGTGGGAGAGACGGGTAGCGGGAAAACCACGCAGGTTAGTGGTCAGTGCGTGCTTGGTCGACGCTCTGATGAAACCCTTGAAATCGCCGATCTTGTGAAATTTCCTGAGGAGTTTTCTAGACGCAGGTGGCGTGCACGTGTTTGAGATGCTAGAGTGGAGTGTCTGAACGCCTCGTCCTCCCCTCGTCTTCCCAACCATATCTCGCAATTCGTCGTGGCGTGTCTGAACGCGACGCCTAAGAAGCAGGTGGCGTGCACGTAATTGCGACGCTTCTGCGCTCTCCTTAACCCCTTACTCCCCTAGAAATCGTACCGCCCCAGATCCCGCAATTCGTGGTGGAGTGTCTCAACGCGACGAACAAGAAGCAGGTGGCGTGCACGCAGCCGCGGCGGGTGGCCTTTGAGTCCTCTTAGAACCTCCCTCCCTCCCCTGCAATGCAATTCCGCGTCTCCCCAACCAGATTCCGCAATTCGTGGTGGAGTGTCTGAACGCGACGAACAAGAAGCAGGTGGCGTGCACGCAGCCGCGGCGGGTGGCCTTTGAGTCCTCTTAGAACCTCCCTCCCTCCCCTGCAATGCAATTCCGCGTCTCCCCAACCAGATTCCGCAATTCGTGGTGGAGTGTCTCAACGCGACGAACAAGAAGCAGGTGGCGTGCACGCAGCCGCGGCGGGTGGCCTTTGAGTCCTCTTAGAACCTCCCTCCCTCCCCTGCAATGCAATTCCGCGTCTCCCCAACCAGATTCCGCAATTCGTGGTGGAGTGTCTCAACGCGACGAACAAGAAGCAGGTGGCGTGCACGCAGCCGCGACGAGTGGCGGCGATGTCGGTGTCGCGGCGAGTGGCGGACGAGATGGACGTGACCATCGGCGAGGAGGTGGGCTACTCCATCCGATTCGAGGACTGCAGCGGTCCCAAAACCAGCCTCAAGTGAGTTGAGTTGTTTCAGGGCTGGCTGTGCAGGCTGTCAGTCAGTCAAGGGGTGCCAATGCCAAGGGTGCCTACAGTGAGGGTGTCTATGGCTAGGGTAGGTTGTGCACAGGGCATGGATGCCATGGCGCGCGCGCATCCGTGGGCGAGTGGCGGACGAGATGGACGTGACCATCGGCGAGGAGGTGGGCTACTCCATCCGATTCGAGGACTGCAGCGGAGCGGACCCAAGACCTCCCTCAAGTGAACCGCTGGTAGTTAGACTTAAGTGACAGAGAGCTGCTTCTGCGCGGTAGGCCTAGACTGAGAAGGGCTGCAGCAGGCCCTCCCAAGACCAGCCTCAAGTGAGTCCATTCAAACGTGCAATTTACAGAGCGCTGGTAGCAAGGGTGCGTCTGTATCTCGTCTTTTCCCTGTCACCCACCCACCCACCCACCCACCCACCCACCAGGTACCTCACTTAACTGACGGTGTGCGTTCGCGGGAGGCCATGGCGGACCCGCTGCTCGAGTGGTACAAGGCGTTCCTAACTCTGCTCTCTGCTCTCTTATACCTTCTCCTGTACCTTTGTAACCAGGTATCTGACCGATGGTATGCTTTTGAGAGAAGACATGGCGGACCCGTTGCTCGAGAGGTACAAGGCGATCACTCTGGACGAGGCGCACGAGCGCACGCTGGCGACGGACGTGCTGTTTGGGCTGCTCAAGGCCGTGCTGGAGCATCGCAAGGAGTGGTGCAGCGCAATCAGTGTGTAGACAGGGCTCACGAACAATCTCCCTCATTTCCCTCCCTCACTCCCCTCTTCTGTGTTTCCCCTTTCCCGCTCGATCGCAACCAACCAGGTATCTGACCGATGGTATGCTGCTAAGGGAATCCATGGCAGATCCTCTACTCGAGAGGTACAAGGCGATCATCCTGGACGAGGTGCACGAGCGCACTGCCTCATTTCCCTCCCTCCTCTCCCCATCCGCCTCGTAACAGATACCTCACGGATGGTATGCTGTTGAGAGAGGCCATGGCCGATCCCCTGTTGGAGAGGTACAAGGCGATCATTCTGGACGAGGCGCACGAGCGCACGCTGGCGACGGACGTGCTGTTTGGGCTGCTCAAGGCCGTGCTGGAGCACCGGAAAGACCTCAAGCTCGTCGTCATGAGCGCCACTCTCGAGGCCGAGAAGTTTCAGGGCTACTTCCACGGCGCGCCCCTCATGAAGGTCCCCGGCAGGCTGCACCCCGTCGAGATTTTCTACACTCAGGTGGGCAGGGCAGGGAAGAGGGGAGGAGGCAGGGGGAGGAAGGGTGCAGATCCACATGTGTGATACCCTCCTCCAAAGGGGATACCCTCCTCACCCCACTCACTTATCCTATTCCACCCCACTCTCCCTTTACCCTTCCTTCTCCCCCACCCCAGGAGCTGGGGCGGGAGTACCTGGAAAGTGCTATCCGCACCGCATGGTGGTGCAGTGCAGATGTGAGAGCCGTCTCATCTGCCCCTCATTCATTACTCTGCAGTGCAGATGTGAGGAGCCGTCTCATGTTACTGACTTGCTCGTCTTACTCACTCGTTTCCACCTCAAACTCTCCTTCCCGTCTTACAGGAGCCAGAGCGGGACTACCTTGAAGCTGCCATCCGCACGGTGGTGCAAATCCACATGTGTGAGCCTTTAACTCTAAAACCCGAACCACAAAACCCCTTTTGATTTTACAGGAGCCAGAGCGGGACTACCTAGAAGCAGCCATTCGCACGGTGGTGCAGATCCACATGTGTGAGCCGCCGGGGGACATTCTCGTGTTCCTCACGGGGGAGGAGGAGATTGAGGACGCGTGCAAGAAGATTGCCCGTGAGGTGCAGAACATGGGCGACCAGGTGGGGCCCGTCAAGGTCGTCCCGCTCTACTCCACTCTGCCGCCCGCCATGCAGCAGAAAATCTTCGACGCTGCCCCGCCGCCCGTGAAAGAAGGCGGGCCGCCCGGCCGAAAAATCGTCATTTCCACAAACATCGCGGAAACCTCCCTCACGATCGACGGAATCGTCTACGTCATCGACCCGGGTTTCTCCAAACAGAAGGTCTATAACCCGAGGATTCGAGTCGAGTCGCTCCTAGTCTCCCCGATCTCCAAAGCCTCGGCGCACCAGCGGGCGGGTCGAGCCGGCCGAACGCAGCCCGGGAAATGCTTCCGCCTCTACACGGAACGCTCCTTCCAAAAAGACCTCCAGGAGCAAACCTACCCGGAAATCCTCCGATCGAACCTTGCCAACGTCGTGCTAACCCTAAAAAAGCTCGGAATTGACGATCTCGTGCACTTTGACTTCATGGATCCGCCCGCCCCGGAGACCCTGATGAGAGCGCTGGAGCTGCTGAACTACCTGGGCGCGCTGGACGATGAGGGGAATCTGACCAAGCTGGGCGAGCTCATGAGCGAGTTTCCATTGGACCCGCAGCTCTCCAAGATGCTCGTTGTGTCCCCCGACTACAACTGCTCCAATGAGATCCTCTCGATTACCGCCATGCTCTCAGGTTGGTTGGCTGAATGGTGGGTTGGTTGGCCGGTTTGTCGGGGTCTCTCATTGGCCTTGTTGCCTGCGTGTGCTGGGGGGTAATGCCGGTGCTGTCTGGGACAGTGGTGGTGTCGCTGGGCTAACTGCTCCAATGAGATCCTTTCCATACCGCCATGCTCTCAGGGGGTGGTTGGCGAGTTGGTTGTCAGTTACATTGGTCATGTTGTTTGCATGTGCTGGGGGAGAATGTCGGTGCTGTCCAAGATGCTGCTCGTGGTGTTGCCAAATTGCAACTGCTCCAATGAGATCCTTTCCATACCGCCGTGCTCTCAGGTTGGCTGGTTGGTTGGTGGGTTAGAATGTCAGGTTTGCCTGTCATCAAGTCTCAGCCTCACTTGCATTTTTACTTCCGTGTCTGCTGGTATATTAGCACTTCAGTTTGTTTTCTGACTTGTTTGTTTTCTGCCAGTTTCACTATAAACCGTACCTAACCTCTCTGCTTGCAGTGTGTTGCTTTACTCTCTCGTCCTCTGCTGCTACTGCAGGAGGACCCCCCTACATGCACTCCCCCTATTGTCACCACCCGTGCCACCACCATTGCCACCACCACCTCTGCTGCTACTCCCATCACCTTCCTAAACTCGACCTAATGATTCCTTCCGCTCCTCCGCTGCTGCCACCGCCCGTACCTACATGCTGACACACCGGGCCTGTCGCCGAACCACCACGTCGTTCTTTTTGCCGAACTTGGCACCGCTTCTCGTTCTCTTTCCCTTACTCCTCCCCCCATCCTCCTCCCGCTCCTCCTCCCCGTCCTCCCAATCCTCCTCAACTTCCTCCTCCGCCTCCTCCTCTTCCTTCTCCAACTGCCAACCTCACCCACGCTGCATCAACCACCCTCTCCGGCCCTTGCCAGTGCCCAACTGCTTCATTCGCCCGCGGGAGGCGCAGAAGCAGGCGGACGAGGCCAAGGCGCGCTTCTCCCACGAAGACGGCGACCACCTCACTCTCCTCAACGTTTTCCACGCCTACAAGCAGAACGGTGAGTGGGTCTGTTGAAATGTCTTACAGTGTACAGGCAGGTCAGGGTGTGTGTGAATTGAAGTGGTGGTGCTTTTGAGACAGAGGCAGGCGGACAAGGCAAGGCGCGCTTCTCTTCTCCCACGAGGATGGCGACCACCTCACCCTCCTCAACGCCTTGCACGGGTACAAGCAGAACGGTGAGCGACTTGGGGTTGGGGAGTCTGTAGTGGCGACCACCTCACGAGGCGATCACGAGCATGGCGACCACCTCACCCTCCTCAACGCCTTCCATGCGTACAAGCAGAACGGCGAGCGACTTGAAACGATCTACATGTGTGTAGGAGCGATTCAGTGACAGTGCGTTGTGTGTGAGTTAGTTGGTGGTTCGTTTGAGTTGAGTCGGAAGCTGGTGGGCGAATCTAAGGCACACTTCTTTTCTCCCACAAGGATGGCCACCACCTCACTCACTCTGCTCGTGGCACTGGCACATCAGGTCAGGAGGATCCGGTACGCACTCAAGATGACTTTTGAGTCGACTCAAAAGTCACCTCACTCACTCTGCTGGTGGCACATGAGGTCAGGATGCGGTACACTGTCAATCAACACTCCCCTCACTCTGCCACGCCCTTCCGTTACCCACCACCAAGCGAGGACCCCAGCTGGTGCCATGGCAACTGTGTCAATGCACGGGCTTTAAAGGCAGTGGTCAATGTGCGGAACCAGCTGGTGCGCATCATGATGCACTACGGACACAAGCTGTGCTCCCCTCCCTCTGTCACTCCCATACCTTATTCACCTCCTTACTCACCACACCACCAGGAGAAGACGCTAGGACAACTTTGTCAGCGCCAGAGCCCTCAAGGCAAACCCTTATTCTCATGCGCTCCCATGTGCTCCCCTCTCCACCAAACCTTACCCACCACCAGGCGAAGACGCTAGCTGGTGCTACGACAACTTCGTCAACGCCCGGGCCCTCAAGGCGGCGGACAACGTGCGCAACCAGCTGGTGCGGATTATGATGCGCTACGGGCTCAAGATGTGCTCCACGGCGTTTGAGTCGTCCGCCTACTACCCCAACATTCGCAAGGCTCTCTTGGCCGGATTCTTCATGCAGGTAGGGAGTGGAGGGAGGTGGCTGGGTTGGGGGAGGGGAGGAGAGGAGGTGGAAAGGGGAGAGGATGTACGTGGTGGGGGGGGAGGGGGGTGTGTGTGTGGGTGCATGGGTGTGTGGATGTGTGTGCGTGTGTCTGCGAGTGTATGTGTGCGTGAGTGGGTGTGTGTGTGTGTGCTTGCGTGTGCATGTGTGTGTGCTTGCGTGTGCATGTGTGTGTGCTTGCGTGTGCATGTGTGTGTGCTTGCGTGTGCATGTGTGTGTGCTTGCGTGTGCATGTGTGTGCGCTTGCGTGTGCATGTGTGTGTGCTTGCGTGTGCATGTGTGTGCATGTGTGTGTGCTAGGAGATTGTGGGAGGGAGGATGGAACTGCAGCTGTGTGTACTTGCTCCGGTTCCCTGGACTGCCTGTGTGTGCTTCTCCCAGACCTTAGCAACCTTTTCACACATCCCGTCCCCTACCCCTCCCTCTTCGTCTCTCCACTCTCTTCTTGTTGTTTTACAGCCCCCCACTCTCCTTTCCTTTCACTTCCCCTTGCCCAATCCCCCCACCCCTTCCTCTGTCCGCATCTTATTGCCCTCAACCCCGCATGTCGTTTACCTTTGCCCACGTCTCTGGAACACAGCATATAAGCAGTCCCTTCTGCTCTCCCCCATCCATCCCCGGCTTCCCGCTGTTCCCCCCATGCGTGCACCCCGCTCTTGTCCTCCTCTCTACCCCACACAGGTGGCGCATTTGGAGAGGACAGGGCACTATCTGACAGTCAAGGACAATCAGGTGGGCCAAACAATTAGGATTACCTAGTGACTAAGTGAGCAGCACTTAGTGACGAGTACTTAGGTGAGCAGCACTTGATGTGAGTTCACTGCAAGCTTGTTTGTCTTCCGCAGGTCTCGTCTCATCTCAACATCCCACTGTTGAGGTCTCGTCTCATCTCAACATCCCACTGTTGAGGTCTCGTCTCATCTCAACATCCCACTGTTGAGGTCTCGTCTCATCTCAACATCCCACTGTTGAGGTCTCGTCTCGTCTCAACATCCCACCTCTCCTTTGTGGCCTCTCCGCTTTCACCCTCCCTCTCCCCCCTGTTCCCTCCCCCCTCTCCCACTGCAGACCGTGCACCTGCACCCATCAACAGGCCTCTCCCACAAGCGAGAGTGGGTGATTTACAACGAGTTTGTGCTCACCACCCGGAACTTCAACCTCTCGTTTTTGCCCTCTCCCCTCCTTCATTCCCCCCATCTCCCCCCTCCCCCCCCGCCCCCTCTCTCCTCCCCCCACCCCTTTCCCCCTTGACCAGATCGCGCACCTGCATCCGTCCAGAGGGCTATTCGACAAGCCCAGTGGGTGATCTACAGCGAGTTTGTGCTCACCGGGCTGTCTCCCTGCTCTCACCTCTCCCTTGTGTCGTTCTCCCCTCTCCCTTGTGTCGTTCTCCCCTCTCCGCACCCCCCTTGCCCCTTCCTCCATCATCCCCCACCCTCTTTTCCAGATCTTGCATTTGCATCCGTCAACAGGGCTGTCCCACAAGCCAGAGTGGGTGATCTCCAACGAGTTTGTGCTCACCAAGCCGTCTCGCTGCTCTCACCTCTCTCAACCTCTGTCAATCTCTCTCAACCTCTCCCCACCTGTGCAGATCGTGCACCTGCATCCGTCAACAGGGCTGTCCCACAAGCCAGAGTGGGTGATCTACAACGAGTTTGTGCTCACCACCCGGAACTTCATCCGCGTTGTCACCGACGTCAAGGGCGACTGGTGCGTGTGTGCAGTGGTGGCAGGGGTGACTGGTGTCTTTGTAGGGGGGATAGGGGGGACTGGTGCATGTGCGCTGGTGTAGAGGGCTTACAGGGGGGGGGGGGAGGGGAGGTTGCGCCATCTCACTGCTACGATTTGGCCAACTTTAGTCAGTGTGACTTTGAGAATTCTAAAAACAAACCCTGCAACTTTAGTCAGTGCGATTTTGAGAATTCTACAAAAAAAAAACCCTTAGTCAGTGTGACTCTGAGAATTCTCAAAAACACCCTGCAACTTAAGTCAGTGTGACTTTGAGAATTCTATAAAAACACCCTGCAATTTTAGTCAGTGTGGTTTTGAGAATTCTCAAAAACACCCTGCAGCTTTAGTCAGTGTGATTTTGAAAATTCTTAAAAACACCCTGCAACTTCAGTGTGATTTTGAGAATTCTCAAAAACACCCTGCAACTTTAGTCAGTGTGATTCTGAGAATTCTCAAAAACACCCTGCAACTTTAGTCAGTGTGACTTAGGAAATTCTTAAAAACACCCTGCAACTTCAGTGTGATTTTGAGAATTCTCAAAAACACCCTGCAACTTTAGTCAGTGTGACTCCACCTTAGCTGCGCCTGCCTGGTTTTCCTCTTCTCTGCAACTGAACCTGCCCGTCTTCCCTCTTTCCTGTCCATGGTTACCCTTCACCACGCTACTGGACATCGCCCCACACTACGACCTAGCCAACTTCCCTCAATCTGATTCCACCTTTCTCTGCACCTTCCCTCTCCCCCTCCCCTTCCCCTTCCCCCTGGCCTCCTTCCCCCCCTCTCCCCCCTTCCCCTCCCCCCTCTTTTCGTGCATGCTACTGGACATTGCCCCGCACTCATACGGTTTGGCCAACTTCCCTCAGTGCGATCCAGCCTTTCACTGCCCTCCGCTCCAACTGTCTTTCCTCTTCCCTCACAGGCTACTGGACATTGCTCCGCATTACTACGACTTGGCCAACTTCCCTCAGTGCGAGGCGCGACGAGTGCTGGAGCGCATCGTGCTCGTGCGCAACCGGGACAGAGTCGAGGCAGCTAAAAAGGGGGATAGCTAGTCCATGCAATGGAATGTGTTGGGGTAAATGCACATCTGTGGAGTTTGGCGTTTGAGTCCCTTCTGCCGGAATAAACCAGAACCTCTTTCCGAGAAATGCGACACGAGCTGGTGTGAAGAGAATGCAAGGAGACGCTTGCATTGCATGAAACCTGGAGAATGTAGACCTGGATGACATGATGACATTTATGCAATGTAGGGATTCGATTGTACATGTGCTGATCGGGAAATGCAGTACAGTACTAACATGACATGATTGCCGCAAGAAATGCTTAGCATATTATCGTTAAAACCCGCGGCCCAAATTGCGGACTGCGCGGGTCAAGTTTTTAAAACTTGACGAGGTGCCCTGTGCAAGGTTTGAAAAGCTGCGCGGTGCAATTTGGGACTTCGACTAAATCAGAAACTCTCTCCAAAACCCAAACATGTAAAACCCCCCCTCGTCATCTTTTTAAAACTTGTGTAATTTGGGCCAACGGTTTTAATGAAGTACGGTACCGTTGCTAAAATTGTATCGTCTTGCGACTCTGCAGTAGCTTAGTGCATAAGCTATTCTTCCCAGGGCTTTAAATCGGTACAAGCTAAACGCATGTGCACAGGACAAGCTACCGGTACCATCTTTAACCCCAAAGATAGACACACCACCACACACTACGGTATTTGTATTAAAATTATGAATCAATGCCCAGCATTGGCTGCACTACAAGTTGCGATCTAACCACGTGGAGCCCATCACTCCAAGTGATGCTACCAGGAGAAAACCTTGCTCTCGCTATTGTTGGGGTTATCCATACCGAGTACCAAACACTCTGGTTTGGATATATAGTAAACTGGGAAGGAACCACTTTCACCTCCGTACCTTCCGGCACTTCAAGTGTGCAAGTGTACTTCGCCGCACGTAACGCCACGTTGGTAACCCGCCGGGTAACCTGAACCGTCTTGTTCAGCCGCGCGACGACAATGTTCGGCTGGTTCAGCATGTAAGGCTTTACTGGGTCCAACTTTATCGGGCGAAAAATCCCCTTTGTAAGCCCGAAGCGAAGACCCGCGAGGAAATTTATGTAGCCCTCAATTCCGACGTCGTAGACCAATCCGGGGCTGAGAACTCGCGAGGGAACCACGTGTCCTGATCCAAACACCCATGGATTCGCGTCGACCCACGTAGACATTTGAATGGGCTGGCCCCACGCGTCTTTCACTCGCGCTGTGGTCATGAGAGCGGATTTCACCGCAGCCGGCGTCCAATCGGGATGCTTCTGCATCACCATTGCTGCGATCCCAGCCACACACGCCGCCGAAACCGACGTTCCAGATTGCATCGAGAACCCCGGGGAGTTTCCGTAGGCCGCCGCAGCGAGGATAGTCAATCCCGGAGCAACTAAATCGGGCTTTAAGACGTCGTTGGTGATGGTGGGAAGGGCCCGGTACGGCCAGCCTGGGCGGTACGGCGGTCCAGAAGATGAGAAATATGCCATTATCGGCGCTCGGACTTTCCTCGGCTGCTCCAAAACGAGGTGGGAGAGAGTAGCAGTGGGACTCGCCGTCTTCATGATGTAATCCCTTATAAGCACACCCTTGGGGTACCCGAAGGAAATCACCGGGAAGTTTCCGCTCACGCTGCGCACGCTCTCATTAGAGTTTCTCGGTATAAGCACCATGCCTCGTGCCCCTGCGTCCTGAACCGTCCTCGCTTTTTTCTCCGGGCTGATCCCACCGATGTAACACAAGACGAGTCCGCCGCCCACTTTCTCGGCGTCGATCTTCCCCGGGCGGCACTGCCGCGCCTCCCAAAGGGCGGCGCCTTTGGCATGGGCCTCTTCCGAGTCGATGAGAGGGAGGTTGGCGGTTAGCACGCCGTCGCCGCCCGTCTGAGTGACCCCAAAGAGTGCGGTGCCGTTGCCGAGGGTGAGCGTGGCACTCCACTCGCGGTCCGTGGCACTGGGAGGAAGGGGAGGAAGGGGTGAAGGGCGGGGAGGGGGATTGTGGAGGGTGTGGGAAAAGAGCCGTCTGAGTAACCCCGAAGAGCGTGGTGCCGTTGCTGAGAGTGAGAGTAGCACTCCACTCGCGATCACTGGCACTGCAGGGAGAGGAGTGGTCCGGGTAAGCCCGAAAAGCACAGTTCCACTGCCAAGGGTGAGCGTGAGGGTGGTGGACCATTGTTGGTCCCCCAACCAGAGGAACATCCATTATTGCACGTCTTTGTCACTGTTGGTCCCCTCACACACAGCTTCCCACTTCCCCACCTCCCCCACTCCCATCCTTCCCTCCTCCCGCCCTCCCCTCTTTCCTATCCTGCACCCACCCCCTGCCCCTTTCTTGTCTCGTGCTTTCCCCCCCCCCTGCTTCCGCCGCCTGTCTCACCTTGCCCCGACTGTGAGTATGTAGGGGGCGACATTCGTTAGAGTGCGCCAATAGGTGGGCGTTGGGGGAGGGCCGTTGTTGCCTGCTGGCGCCACCACCAGCACACCCGCCTGCAAAGAGAACGAGGGATGGATAGAGAGAAAATAAACAAATAAAAATTGTGAACAAAATCAATAAATACATAGTATAGGAAAGTATGTTAATGCTTGAATATCCGATTAGGGAGGGGTACACCCATCCACCCACCTGAACCGCGCGTAACAAAAAGATGGAGTTGAAATAATTGTCGTCCGTGCCGCCGACCGCGAGGGACAACACATCAACCCCGTCCTTCACCGCGTCTTCGACAGCAGCCATGACGTCAGCAAGGCTGCTCATGCCGCCCCAAATCACTTTGTACACCGCGATGCGCGCGCGAGGCGCCACTCCGCTGAGCGACCCGAGAGTGGCGTAGTTCACCTTCACTCCCGCATTCCCTGCCGCGACGCTGGGGGAGACGAGAGAAGGGGAAGAGGAGACGGGGGGGGAAGAGAGTTGTGGGGTGGGTTGAGGGGGAATAAGGTTAAGAGAGACGGAGGCGCTGACGTGGAGGCGCTACGCCGCTGGAGGAACCAGGGGGGCCGTGATTCACCTTCACGCGCGCTGCCGTGAAGCAAGTGAACAGAAAGCGAGCTGCGAAAGAAAGAAGCTTCCTTAGCTTGTGACGGACTGTTGCCACTCGTTACCTGCCCCGTGTGTGATGAGACGATTCTTAAGTCGACTCAAAAATCGCCTCATCACACACGGAATTGCCTGCTGCCACCCGTGGTGACGATTCTTGACTCGATTCAAAAGTCGACTGCCTGCTGCCTTTGAGGCGCCTCATGAGCTGCCCGCTGCCACCTGTGGCCACCTGCTCCAATTCCCGCGTTGCGTGCCCCGTGCCCCGCATTCCACCCCCCCATTGCCCCGCGACCCGCGCTTCATGCCCCACCAAGAATCACCCAGCGCTGAAAGTGCCGTACCCTATGACCAGGAGCTCCGTCCGTCCCTTTTTCGCCGTGCCCCGTGCCCCGCGCCCCGTGCCGCGTGCCGCGTGTCCCGCGCCCCGTGCCGCGTGCCGCGTGCCCCGTGCCCCGTGCCGCGTGCCGCGTGCCCCGTGCCCCGAGCCTGGTGCCCGGTTTCCCCCGCGCAAAGACTCACCCCGCGCAGAACGTGCCGTGTCCCATGGCGTCGCGCGGCGACCGGTACTCCCTCTTCGCCAACGCGCCCGCGCCGTACTCTTGTAGAAACCCGTCCATATAGTACCGCGCCCCGACGATCTTATTGTTACACCCGTTAAAGTCACGCGTGACGTTACAAACCCCGCGCCACCCCGTCAGAAGTTGCGACCCGGAATATCCGCGACCCGAGAACGACGGATGCTGCGGCCATATCCCCGAGTCGACGAATCCGATTACCGTGTTATCGCCAGCGTATCTCGCGCCGCCAAACGCGGCCCACGTGGTCCGGGGCAGCTGCAGGAATTCCGGGACGTGCGTCATCATTGGTCGAAGCGATCGCATCCGCGAAACGCGGTGCACGCCAGGATGCCGCTTTAATAACCGGACCTGGTCGGACGTAAGGCGCACCGCGAACGCGTTGGCCACATAGTGGTAGCTATAGACTAAGTCCGAGCCGCTTAGTCCGATGTCTGCTAGGGTCTCCTCGTGTGTGGATCTTAAATGCTGCGCGTAAGCCTTAACGTGCGGCGATGACGGGTCCGGTCGATGCGCCTTGGCCCTCTCCCTCGTCTTGCTGCTTCCCCCCTTGCTTTCCCCGCTGCTGCCTGTCAAACCCCGACGAATGCTGCCGCCCATTAGCGCGCCAGCTCGTAACCGTCTTTCCTGCAGTCGTCTCTTGCGAAACCGGGTGTCTTGTAACCCTTCGCCTTGTGACCATCTTTCGCTTAGGCGACGATGCTGTGTATGTCTCGGTAGTGCGTGACTCGCTTCTACATCTTGTTCACCCTCCTGTAACAGCTTCCTCCTACCTCGCGAATCCTCTGTTCGCGAGTCTCCTGCGGGTAACGGTTCCTCTTGTAACCCTGGCTCCTCCTCGAACAGTGCCTCCTGTTCGTCTTGTAAACGTCTTTCGTCAATCTGCATAGCCGAAATTCCTTCGCCACCCCTCTCTCCCCTCACGCTACCGCCCTTCCGATCTTTTATCGCATCCCTAACCGACCTATCGCCCCCTTCCTTGTAACCGTCCCTTCTCTCGTTACCACCGTCGCTACTATCACTATCTCTATAATCCCCGTAGTAATCCCGATAATCGTAATCACCAGCCTCCCCTCGTTTGCTTCTTTCGTTTCCCAGTCTTACACTCTCCTCCTCCTCCTCCGCCTCCTCTACCTCTTCCTCCTCCTCCTCTTCCTCTGTAGCAGCGGCTGTAGCCGTCGCCTGTAGACCGTCCACGCCGCCGTGATAGCTTATCACGGGCGGCAGCGCCTTCATGTACACCGTGTAGAGCTGCCGGCTGTAGCTCACGGACCCCAGCGACACGTGGCGGGAGATCGAGGCGGCGGCGGAGGAGGAAGAGGTCGGCTGCGATTCCGTGTTTGTACGCGTTACAAGGGTCGCCGAAACAAGCAGAGTTATCAACAGCGGTAACAGTGCCGTCTGGGATTTCCGTGTCATGGTGAAGTGCGGTTGCCCCTCGCGAGGAGTATTTTATCCCCGATATTGCCAACTCGTATGGCACGTTGATGATAGTCTCAGGTCCAGTTTATCCCCGATATTGCTGTGAGCATCTGCGCCCATGCATTAGGCGCAACAAAAGGAGGCTTCGCAAATCCGAGTACTGAAAAGCTCGGGAAGAGGCTCGTTTCTCACTGACACTGGCGACTCGGTAGCACAGAACCGACAGTAAGCGACAGGACAATCGGTCACACGGACGCGACAGTAAGCGACAAGGCGATTCGGTCGCAGGGAGGCGTAACTATCAATAGTAAGCGACACGTCCTAGTACAAGGCAACTTTGAAAGAGGAGCGAAATGCGGCAACGCGTTTCAAACTGTTGTACATATGGGTTACGTAGCACTGAGACTTGTCCCAGGTATCTTCTGTAGAGTGTGCTTAGCTGCTTGCAAGATCTCTCTGTAGGACTCTGGAACAGAAGCTTCGGGATACAGAAGCCAGTACTGTAAGCACTACCAACTAGAACGGTGAAACCCTAAAACTGCTTCGCAACTAAGCAATTCCGTAGGTTTCGAACGAGAGGAGCGGCTCGCAGAGAGAGAAGGGCATATGGTCAAGGTTCCACCAACCCCACCACGAGAGTTTTGGGTCATGGGCCACGGCACGACATGGCACACACAAGCTACTGAGCTTCGGGGTCACGGTTATGCCGCATGAGTCAGGAAATCGAAACAGCCCACACACACATGCACTGTCTGTCTACCATCCCATGATGATCGGTCCTTTCCTTTCCATCCCATTCTCTGGCTATCAGTCCTGGGATGAGGAGGGGAGGGGAGATACACCAGCAAATCGCCGTACACCACCGAATGGTGGTGAAGTGGGTAATTTACTGTTCTGTTCTATCTACAGTGTGCGCTGTTGATGTTTACTGTACTCTATTGTATGCGACTCCAGACCCTTCTCCAGCTGAGTGTACAGACGGATCCCGTTTAATATTACCGTTCTGAAACGCAACACACCGTGGCGTTTGATTCGGAAACATGCTCACAGTTGACAGATGTGAGCCTGGACGAGAAGTGAAACGAAGCGCTGTGGTGCCCAAGAAGAAACCTGAAGTCAGCAGGTTATCAGGTGTTTGGGAAACCGAGTCGCTGTTGCCGTTTCCAAAATACTTTCATGTGCATGTCTTACCCATGCCAAGGTGCCACGGCAGCCTAATTGTTCCGCCGGGCCACGAACTGAGGCTCGGAGACGTGTTTCAACACGAAAGTCGAGCTTCGGAAATCTTCGAAGCTTCTTCCTGGCACCTGACCAGTTCGTGGGTGAGCGCGGGTTGCGGCGACTGAATCGCATACATTTTCCGTCAGCGTCAATTGTCGGACCAGGGGCACCGCACGCGGTTCCGGATTCTCCAACTTGTGATGGCTGGTAGTTACCGTTTCGTTCATGCTTTCGGCTCCTCGCCCCAGGGAGAGAAGGCTATCAATGAAAAATGTCGGTGCCATGTGCGAACAGATGCGAGCAGCACGACTTTCAGTTGTGGGATCTCTCCAACTAAACGAATACGATCCACATTTCTGGGAATACACATGCCAACCTACTAGAGGCTTTGGCATGCCCGTCAGCGCACGATGCGGCAATTGAGATGTTCCACAACATTGGTGCGCAGTGCGCGTGAAACTCGTTACGTATTATTGTTGACATACACCGATCTATCCGAACAGGTATTAGCTATAATCAAGTTAGAAATGAGAGACATTGGTAACAAAGTTTAGAGGAAGTCAGTGAAGTCAGTAACACCTGCAACCTTGGAAGTTTCCAGGCCAGATAAGGTAATTAGTTATTGCCCTCTTGAATGCACAAGATAGTGCAATAAGGACAAGATTGTTACCTGCAGCTGGGCCCATCTCACTTATCAAATGCACCCCTGCAGTCACCACCACCACGATTACTAGAGCGCCTCACCCAGCTTCCTCCAGTACACCACCTAACTTCGGTACACCCAACGTTGTCTATACGCGCAGTCAGGGATTCTGATACCCGCTCCCGAGAAACTTCGACGGCAGAACAAGATCGAACGGCCACGAGAGCATCTCGCCAAACCGCAAATCCTGCTGGTGGCCCTCCCACAGTCCACTAGGGCTACCCCCATCCTCCTCGCCACTCCCACTCCCACCATCGCTACCTACCCCACCACCTCCTCCGCTACCCCCTCCACCCGAAACCCCTACAATTACCCCTTCCCCTTGACAATTCCCCCCTGACGAACTTCCACCTGCCCCCACACCACCCCTTCCAATCCCCCCAGCACTGTCCACTCCTCCCCATGCATTCTCCCCCCCAGCTGCTGCCGCCGCCCTCCCTCTCCCAGCCCGTCCAGCCATCCATCGCTTCACCTTCGCCAGCTCCTCTCTGCTCCTCGCAGCCTCCCTCTCCCTCGCCTTGGCAGCAGCTCTCGCCTCCCGCGCTTCATCTCTCAGCGCCTCCACTTCTTCAGCCAGCTGGATCAACGTCTTTTGCTTCGCCTCTGCAAACGCTGCTGATTCCTCCGCGTGGCGTTTGTCACCGTGTGCTGCATGCACCACCCGCATGCTCAGCTTTTCCGTCCGGGCCTTCGCAGCCCGTAGCTGAAGCGTCAGCTCCTCGTGCCGAGCCTCCAGGTCCGTTATCCGGGCCTCGGCTTCCTTTGCCCGAGCTTCGGCTTCTGCTGCCCGAGCCTCAGCTTTGGCAACCTGGCCAGCATCAGTCCCTGAAGACCGGAACATCCGACCCTCAACCTCCGCTTTCGACACCCGAGCCTCAGTTTCAGCTCTGGATGCCCGAGCCGTAGCCTCAGAGACCCGGCGCTCTGCCTCGGTAGCTCGGCGTTCAGCCTCGGAAATAGCCCCGCGGGCAGCATCGGCATTGGCTCGGGCAGCAGCAGCTTCGGATTGGGACCTCTCAAGCTGGCTCTCTAACCTTGCTGCCTTCTCCTCCGTTCGACGCAGCCTCTCCTCTGTAACCCACAATTCCCTCTCCAAAAACTCAATCCGCGCCCGTAACTGCACCCGTTCCGCTTCCGCAGCTCCTGCTGCTGCTTCGGCTCGTGCAGCCTCGGCAGCTCCCGAAGCAGCTGCCTTCGCGGCTTCCTCCGCCTGCTTCCGCGCCCGAGCCTCCGAGCCAGGCTTGGCAGGGCTGCTAAGCGGAGTAACTTCCTGTACCCCTGCCCCTGCCCCTGCCCCTGCGCCTGCGCCTACCCCTGCTTTCCGTCTCAATTCTTCCAGTTCGCGTTTGATGTGGGACGCTTCCTCCTCCTGCTTCACCAGCATCGTCTGCAAGAAGCGGACGAGCGTCTTCAGTCCGCGGTTCTCCTTATTGAGCTGCTCTATAAGCGGACCGTTACTGTTGCCCTCCACCACAACCCCTGCCACTCCGCTCACCAGTCCCTGCTCCCACTTGCCCTTCTGCTCACTTCCCCCTCCTCCGCCTCCGTCGCCTCCCCCTCCCTTCCCTTCCGCTGCCCCGGCGGACGATACCCCACCACCACTGCCGCCTGAAAGGTACTCAGGGCACCAAATGAGGCTGCTCCCGCTGCTGTTGCCGCTGCTGCTGTTCCCGCTGCTGCTGATGCTGCTGCTGCCCATGCTGCCGTGGGTGATGATGCTGCTGCCGCTCGTCGTGCTACAGCCGCTACAACCGCTCAGCACGCTGCTGTTGCTGCCGCGAATACCAATCGTGCGCTCCAGCGGTCGGCACGCCAGCTCCAGCAAACTACGAGAAACACCTTCGCCAGAGTTATTTACCCTGGAAATTCCTGTTTCATATGCACTCACTGGGGAATATCCCGCTGCAGCTGAACCAGCAACCTTGTGGCCGCAAGGGGAACTTACGGTACTACCCATCCTATATGTATATCCCCCATCTTCTGCCCTCTCCCCTCCGCCCTGCCGCCCCTTCTCCGCCTCTCTCCTCTCCCTTTCCCCCAGAATGCTCCGCAGCACACTTTCTTCCGCCCGCCTCCTCCCCTCCTCCGCCTTCCGCCGCCCCTCTTCCGCCTGCAGCCTCCCCTCCTCCGCCACCTTTTTCCCCGCCTCTGCAACCTCCTTTGCTGACTCAGCAGCCACTCTCGCTGACTCAGCGGCGTCCCTTGCTGACTGGGCTGCTGCCAATGCTGCCTCCGCCGTCACGACATCCGCGTTAAGAGCCTCTATTCGCGCCTCTGCTTCTTTAAGCGACTTTCGCAACCGCTCGTTCTCCTGCCGCAGCAGCACAAGAAGCGAATCCATGGGGCCCTTATTACCCCCAGATAAACCTCCCCCAGTAGCCCCTTCACCAACACCGCCGCCTGCCGCCGGGCTTCCCACCTCCGAGCCTACGACCGAACCGCCGCCGGGGCTGCGTAGGTTGCCGAGCCTGGTTGCTCCGGGCCGAGCCAGCCTGGGGGAGGCGTTGCTAGCCGGGCTACTGCCGCCGAACCCGCCGCAGCTGCAGGCTTCACCCTCCTTTCTCTCCGCCCCGCCCTCCTGCGTTTTCACCTGCGACTCGGCTTGCCGTTGCCAGTGCCTGATCTCCCTACAGGCAAGCTCCAGGTCTCTCCGCATCTGTTCGTTTCTCCTGACAACAACAGCAAGCTCCGCTTTCACCGCCTGCGCCGCCTCCCCATCTCCCGCCGTTCCGCCCACACGGAGGCTATCCGCGCCCGTTACGCCGCCTCCGCCTCCGCCTCCGCGCGAGAGAACCGCCGCGTCCAGCCGCTTCTGCAGGCCCTCGTTTCTCCCCTTAGCTTCCGCCAGCTCCCCCAGAAGCTCCGCGTTCTCCTCCCGCGCTTCCGCCAGCTCTTTCTGAGTTTGCGCGCCTTTGGCGCCAAGCGCGCGGAGCTGCTCCCGTTGTTCCGCGCATTCCTCTAGCGCTCTCCGCAGCTCCGCCTGCGCCGCCTGCGCCGCCTCCTCCAGCTGCCGGAGCTCCGCGTTTGCGCTTGCCAACTGGCGCACCTCCCCGCGCAGCCTCCCGTTCTCAAGCGCCAAGTCCGCCGCGCGTTCCTGCTCCTTCACCAGCCGCGCGCGCATCTCTTCCGCACTTGCGCGCAACTCCACCATCTGCGCATTTGTTTCTTTAAAACTTTCCTCCGCCTTCCGCCTCTCCGCCTCCGCTGCGCGCAGCCCGTCTTCCAACTCGCGGCTTTCCGCCAGAGCGGAGCCCAACCTTTCCCGGGAAAGCTCCGCCCCTCCCCGGAGGGCGTCGTTCTCCGCGCGGAGCATCCGCGCGTCATCTTGCGCCGATTGCAGCTGCGCCTGCCACTGCTCCCGCTGCTGGCGCATCTCCGCCTGCCACCGCTCCTGAAGCTCCCGCTCCTGCGCCTCAAGGTGCACTTTCCGCCGAGCTTCATTCTCCCGCCGCTCCGCCTCCGCATCCCGCCGTTGTGCCTCCAGTTCCCGCCGCTGCCCCTCAAACTTTCCCTCAAGCTCCCGCACGTCTTCCCAGGCGGACTGCAGCCCGCGGCGCAACTCCGCGCACTCGTCTTGCGCGGCGGAAGCTTCGTTCTGCGCCCGGCGAAGCTGCTCCTGAAGATCCTCCACTATCGAGTCAACTCTTACCGCTTCCTTCGCCACGATACGCGTCTGCTCCATAGCGGATGCCACTGTGGACGAACTCGAAGAAGCCACTAACGAGGATGGAGTCCCTGGTCGCTGCTCCGATTTAAGAATCCCGCTGTTGCTTATCGTTCTCCGATGGTAATCCAGGCCGGCTTTTGCATACTCGTCCGCAACTTCGCTAACCACCACGCTACTAGACCTCCCTACACCATCACGCTCCAAATCCTTCCACTTCACCTGCCGACTAGCCCTCGCCTTATCGCTCAAATATGCTGCTGTCGTCGTCTTGTCGTTCAGAAGAGCGGGAAGAACCTCCTGGTGAATCACACTCGATAAAAGGTGCACCGACGCGCTCGTCTGCGTCCGCAATGGCAGCGACGCCGCGTCGCTCAACCTGTCGCTCAGCCTGTCGCCTAACCTGTCGCCGTACGTGTCGCCTAACCTGTCGCCGAGTCTGTCACCGACACGTGTTGCTTCTCTATCTCCGGACCGGGGTGTAGTCGGTCTGCTTCCATACCTGTCGCTTAGTCTGTCGGCTAGACTGTCGCCCAACCTGTCGCTTAACCTGTCGCCGTGCCTGTCGCTATAACGATCGTAGTCGTCGCCGGACGTAAAACTAGCGGCTGGATTGGGCGTTAACGATTGAGTTCGAGACATTTGATTCGCCGATGCCCAGTGCTGGTTGCGAAGGCGCTCAATGATCCCGTTTATGTCGTCTTCGTGCATCGGCTCGTCGTCTTCATCCAACGGCCGGCTGCCGCTGGATGCAGAAGATCCTGACCGTCGCATGGTGGGTGAAGGAGGGTCTAATCTTGCGATGTGAAGGGAATGATGTTAAGTCTGTTACAGATTTAAGGAAAGTTTGGGACTAATAGAGGAGACGTCGCCGACGGTTCTAACAAAGAGCAGGTCGCATGATATGGAGCAATACATACACATTTTAGCTACCTCGGACTTTAATTACCTACTGCTAATATGCTTAAGACCGCCAAGCGTTGCGTACACTCGAACTGGAAGACAAGGCCTATTAGTGAAGCTAGCCGCAAACTCGAACAAAGCAACTGGTAACAGAAGTCCCAGGAAGGTAAGAACCCTTCGGCTGTGTGCAGTGTGGTGGTGTTACCTGGACCGCCGCTGCTGTGCCCTTCACGGTTTGGCAAGTTAGCAGTAGGACTCAAAGGGATGAAGCAGCCAGAGTACTCCACACGGGGTTCCAGAACTCAGATACAGACTATGAACCGCTTTGCTTACAGTCAAAACGTCTCAAAACGCGACAGAACGTACTCAACCGTACTAAACGAGGGGAAGCCATCTGCGAAGCAGTAGATCCAACCCAACCCCAAGACCACCAGCGATGCGGGGTCTCACTGTAGGGGCGGAGTGAAAAGGGGAAAAGGGAGGGGGAAAATGGGGTTTGGGGGGAAATAGGAACCGCGGGAGGGGGGAAACTGCTGGGTTTTGGGTGGGTGTGCGGGTGCAAGTGAGGCAAGGGGGACCCAGGAATGCTGGATAGTACACGGAAGGGGGAAAGGGGCCAATGCGGGGAGGGGGAGACGAGCCTGACTGAAAAACTTCTCTTTTTCCTCGGGTCCGTCCATCCAACGAGTCTGTGACTGTGACTGAAAATTTGGCGGAAACGAGGGGCCAGCCGAAGCGCCCCTGGGTTTCAATCAGCATGGCGCGCAGCTCTGCTAAAAAGATCAGAGGGTGACTTGTGACATAATTGGCCAAGAGACTGACACGCGAAGCCACGACTCGACTCTCCCGCTTTCGCAAAATTGCGGCGAACAAGGGCGAACGACCGTGCTGTCGCTGACTGGTTGATGTGTGACGGTTGACCGTCTGGCCGCAATGTGCATGACGACCTCGATGTAACTACCTCGACACGTGGCAACCCTTTTGCTTGTGGCTGATTGACATCCGCGATTCAGGACATCCTCCGCTGCACATAGCGAAGGCCGTGTAGCCCAGAGATGAGCTTAACTTAAGATGTGCAAGATTTGTAGAACGCATGATCTTCAACACAAACAAGGAACAACAATGAATATAATAAAGTATTGCGGGCAACATATACCAGCAGTTAACCTCAATTAGCAGCCCTTTAACATGAGCACTACAGGTTAGCAAATGTAAGTCACTCAACGAAGAGTTGAGAGCTCATCAGTTAGCTCTGGAAATTCCAAACCACGGTCATTTCCAGCTCAGCCCAACGAAAGCACCAATGGACATTCACATTCCAGCTCACACTCATGACCACACTGAATCACGACTGACATACAGAGCAGAAACCCGATCACTTATCACAAGCTCCGCAGGACCATGCACCACACCTCCTGCACCTAGCCCCACCCCACCCCACCGAACACCCCTCCCCACCTCACCCTACAACACCACCCTTTTTATTTCCTTGGTTACCCCCCTCATAAACCTAAACCTCCCTGCCCTCCACACCCTCATACAGTACCTTGCCCCTTGCCTTGCCTCTAAAGGCTTGCCTCGCCACACACCGTCACCACTCCAGGTTGCCCGGCCACCACTTCCCACACCTCAAAACCACTGCGCACACTGCTTCAACCCCGCCATGAACCACAATGGGCTGCACCGCCAGCACCTGCGCAGCGCACCTCATGCACGCCGACCTTCCCTCAAATCATCCACTCCCGTCCCTCTCATCCCCATCCCTCACCTTGCACTGTTCTGGCCCCTTTTGAGTCGACTCAATAGTCACCTCATGCACGCCGTCCCTCCCTTGAATCATCCATTCCTGTCCCTCTCATCCACATCCCTCACCTTGCACTGCTCTGGACCCTTGCTTCACAGCATCCCCCTTATCCCTCAAGTCGAGATCACTTCACAATGGGTTGCCTTGCACTGCCAGCATGCTGCGCACCTCATGCACACCTGATACTGTTACAGGCCCTCACAACGACCCTCACTTAGATTTGACCGCAATGGGTTGTACCGCAAGCACGCTCCGGACCTCATGAACACCGTCCTTCCGCGTGATGCTCCCAAACGTGAAGTTCTTCTAAACTGCCTTGCCGTGACGTGAGGATAATCGTCATGCTGAACCGCGCCCGCTGCCCCGGCAACACACCCTCACTTGGATTTGACCTCAATCGGCTGCACAGCCAGCACGCTCCGCACCTCATGCACGCCGCTCTTCCACGTGATGCTCCCAAACGTGAAGTTGGTCTGCTGCACCCCCTAGCCCTAACCCTAGCCCTGATACTGTTACAGGCCCTCACAGCGACCCTCACTTGGATTTGATCTCAATGGGCTGGACGGCCAGCACGCTCCGCACCTCATGAACACCGTCCTTCCCCTGGAGTCATCTCTATCTCTCGTTACTGCTACAGACCCTCAATTATCAAGCCCTCTTCACAGCGACCCTCACTTGGATTTGATCTCAATGGGCTGGACGGCCAGCACGCTCCGCACCTCATGAACACCGTCCTTCCACGTGATGCTCCCAAACGTGAAGTTCTTCTGAACTGCCTTGGGAATAATCGTCACGTTATACGCCGCCCGCTGCCCGGGCCTCAGAGTCAGCTTCGACGGACTCACCGACACGCTCACCCCATCAGGCTTGACCAGGTACACCTTATACGTCGATGTTTTGAACTCCACGTTTGTCACCCACCGGGTCACGTTCACCGTCTTTTTCATCCTCCCCATAGCGATATTCGGCTGGTTCAGGTTGTACGTCTCGAGAGGAGAGAGCACCGCTGCCGGAAAGGCCGCCTTGGCCTTTTTCTCGTCCAACCCCGCGAGGAAATTGATGTAGTTTGCCGCCCGGACGTCGTAAACTAGCCCTGGATTTAAGGATTTTCCCGGGGTAATATGCCCCGAGCCGAACTGCCACGGGGAGGCATACGTCCAATCCCACGACCGGATCCCCTTCCCCCACATATCCTTCACCGAAGCACTCGTCATCATTGCGGATTTCACCATTCCCGGGGTCCACCGGGGGTACTTCTGAATCAGCAGCGCCGCCACGCCTGCAGCGACAGAAGCAGCAGCAGAGGTGCCGCTGTCGAGCTTGAAACCGGGGGAGGCGGCGTTGCCGGCGTTGGTGGAGGAGAGGAGGGCGAGGCCGGGGGCGGTGATGTCGGGTTTGAGGATTTCGTTGGTGACGGTGGGGTTCTTGGGCATGGAGACCCAGGGGTCGAGGGGCGGGCCGGAGGAGGAGAAGTATGCCATGACTGGCGCGAGCGTGCCCTTGGGGAGGGTGTAGAGTACGGGGGAGATTGACACTGTGGGCCTGGTGGGACAGGGGAAGGGGATGGGAGGGGAAGCGGAGAGAGGAAGAGGGAAAAGGGTAAGTGGAAGAGGAATAGGAGAGAGGGAGTTGCTGGAGGAGAGGAGGGCGAAGCTGGGAGCAGTGATGTCTCGTTTGACCAAGTCGCTCTGCACCACCAGCAGCAGCAAAGCATTGCCATCCCTGCCTGGTGTCGGCCTTGCTAGTCCCTTACTTGGTGTTGCTGTTGTTGTGCAGAGCAACTTTTGAGTCGACTCAAAAGTTGCTCTGCACCAGCACCAGCAAAGCATTGCTATCCCTGCTGTGGGCTTACCTCATCACCTAACAAGGCTTACTTGGTGTTGCTGTCGTTCTTCAGATAGTCCTTGATCGCTTGCGAGATGGTCATGCCAAACGTCACCCCCGGGAACGCCCCGGTCACGGACCGCACGTACTGCCGCGGGCTCTGCACCACCAGCAGCACCGCCTTGCCGCCAGCTGTCTGCACCGTCAGCGCCTTCTCCTCCAATGACACGCCGCCGTGCCAGCACAGCACGGCTGCTCCGATGACCTTGGCTGGGTCTAGAGTGCCCATTCGACACTGCTCTGCCTGGAGAGGGCAAGAAGGAGGAGGTATAGGAAAGGGGGGTAATAGAGCCAGCGCCTTCTCCTCCACTGGCACACCGCCGTGCCAGCACGGCACGGCTGCTGCGATGACCTTGGTGGGGTCTAGTGTGCCCATTCGACACTGCTCGGCCTGGAGAGGGCAGATAGAGGTGGGGGAGAGAGGAGAGAGGGGGAGAGAGGAGAGAGGGGGAGAGAGTCAGTGGCTTTGCCTCCGCGCCAGCACAGCACGGCTGCTCCGATGACCTTAGCGCGGTCAAGCGTGCCCATTCGCGGTCAAGCAGGACAGTCAGTCCCCTGATCACCTTGGCGGGCGCTGGTCTGGGATACCCATGTGGCACTGTGGTCTGGGATACCCATGTGGCACTGCTCCGCCTGATGGGGTGGGGGCAAGTCGGTGGGAGAGGAGAGTTTGCATTTTCTAGACCCCCTATGACTCATAAGTCACGGGCACTCTCAAAAGTCTCAAAAGTCTCAAAAGTCAATCCGGTCATGCCATGCCCATGACCCCCCATGCCTGCCCGGTCATCTCCAGTTATCCCCCTCACCTCCTGAGGCAGGGCCTTGGCCGTGCCAGCCATCTTAGCGTCAACAAGAGGGAGGCTGGTGGTGGTCTTTACTGCATGATGGTCCTTTGCTCGCCCATACCCCATGGAACCGCTCTGAACCGCTCTGAACCGTCGAATCGACTCACCTCCTGAGGCAGAGCCTTGGCTGTGCCAGCCATCTTAGCATCAACAAGAGGGAGGTTGGTGGTGGACCTGAGGTCGCCCCCTTGCTGTGTGATGCCCGTGTACCACTTCCCGTCGCCCAGCGTGATCTTTGCTTGCCACTCCCGCGGAACGCCACTGGAACAGAAAGAGGGGGGTTGGGGAGTGTGGAGGAAGGAGGAAAAGAAGGGTGGTGAGTCACATAAAAAGCAATGCTATTGCTGCGCCCACGCTGCACCCACGCCGCACCCACGCTGCACCCACGCTGCACCCATGTGCTGCACCCATTGCTGCACCCATGCTGCATCCATGTGCTGCATCCGGTATCTACCCATGTTGCAGTGAAGGAGCTGCTGTGCATGCACATGAGCAGAGATGAGCCTGGCAGTCACTGAGATGAGCCTGGCAGTCAGTCACAATGACAACCTGGTTATTCACCTGGCAGCAACGGCATTCACCTGACAATCAGGTAATTTTTTTTACTTCAATGATATTCAACTGACAACCAGGTATTCACCAACAACCTGGTTATCCACCTGACAACCTGGTCGGTATTCACCTGACAACCGGGGAAATCACCTGATAACCAGGGAATTCACCTGGCAATCAGGGTATTAACCTGCAAATCAGGGTATTTACCTGACAAGAAAGGTAATTACCTGACAACCAGGGTATTCACCTGGCAACCTGGTTATTCACCTGGCAGCAACAGTGAAGATGTATGGAGACACGTTGGCAAGTGTGCGCTGCTGCCTTGCCCCCGGTGCCATGCCTTCGTTACCCGCTGCTGCCACCACAAACACTCCCGCCTGGCGTTGAGATGGGAGGAAGGGAACAAAGCAAGGGAGTGAAAACAGGGGGGACGGGGAGTGTGAGGTGGTGATGGTGTGGCGTGGAGGGATAGAGGGGCGGGTGCTGCTTTGCCCCCGGTGCCAGCCATGCCTTGGTTGCCCGCTGCTGCCACCAGAAACACTCCCGCCTGGCGTTGAGATGGGAGGGGAATAAAAGGGAGACATTGCAGCACGGGGGGGGGCCCTACTTAAACAGTCGTCATCTGTTCTCCCCAAGAGGGAGTAGAGCTCTCACATCGCCCACGCTGCTCTCCCCCACCCTTACCAGTACAGGATAGGAGGCGATGGGGAGGCAGGGGGAGAGGGGTTGCGGGGGGAGAGGAAATGGGGGGAGGGGGGAAGGGGAGGGGGAGAAGTGGGGGAGAGGGAAGGGGGAGGAAGAGGTCCCTACCTGAACAGCCCTCAGCAGGAAGAGGCCCCTACCTGAACAGCCCTCAGCAGGAAGAGGCCCCTACCTGAACAGCCCTCAGCAGGAAGAGGCCCCTACCTGAACAGCCCTCAGCAGGAAGAGGCCCCTACCTGAACAGCCCTCAGCAGGAAGAGGCCCCTACCTGAACAGCCCTCAGCAGGAAGGCGGAGTGTCGTGAATCCCCTCTGCTGTCCCTTCCTTCTCACTCTCCCTTGCATCCCTGCCTGACTTCCTCACTCCCTCTCCCTCCACCTCTCATCCAGGTGACCGGCTCATCCCTTCTTCCTCCTGGCGTATGTAATCACTCTGTTCTGATCCCCTCCTCGTATCTCAGGCTTCCCAGAAACAAGACTTAACTCCCTCGCAAGGGCTCCGCCGATTTGCTTCAGCTCCTCTCTACTGCTAGTTCCCCGTGGTTTAGGAAATCACAATTGCAGTAAACGAGAAACATACAAGCAAAAAGCAACGAGTCTGAGCGCTACCCCAGTCTACATCCCCTCCTGCCTAGGTGCCTTGTCCCGCAAGCTACCTCTACTCCTAAGCGCGAGTCAGCCGAGCTGATCGCGTAGGCTTCAAGGTGCTAGCTGGGTCCCACTCGGCCCACTAGGCATGCACCGCCTTCCAGCCTGGTGAATGGCGAATTGAATTCCCAGGCTGGCTGGAATCGAATTCGCCACCAACCTCCCCCCTAACCACCTCGAAATCCTCAGCAGCTCGACTCTGTATAGTACAGTAACATTCCAAAAGAGCAAACAAAGTAAAATGCAAAAAGCAGTAAACTATAGTACACCTCACCTTGGCTGCTGTGTAATTCACACTTAGTTGCCAGCTAAGTGTTAATCACGCGACAGCTGTCGTGAATCCCCTCTGCTGTCCCTTCCTTCTCACTCTCCCTTGCATCCCTGCCTGACTTCCTCACTCCCTCTCCCTCCACCTCTCATCCAGGTGACCGGCTCATCCCTTCTTCCTCCTGGCGTATGTAATCACTCTGTTCTGATCCCCTCCTCGTATCTCAGGCTTCCCTGCCCCCTCCCGTGACTGAGCACGCACCCGAGCTGCTCCAGACACGGGATCCAATGCCTGAGGCTTCTCCCTTCCCGCCCTGGCCACGTTGGTGATATGCTCCTTCAGGTACTCCCCTCGATCATCCTCCAGCACTAGCACCCCCGACTCCCTTACCTCTTTCACCCTCCATCGCTCCGGTCCCACAGCTAAGTCCAGCGTATCTCGCTTAGCCCTGCGCAGGTACACCTCCTGCCCCGCTTCCACTTGGTGACTCTTTCCTCCCATCCCTCCTGCTTTGCGCTGCTGGTACCGCCTTGCATCCCTCAGCTGCGCCACGTGTAGATTATCCAAGGCAGCTGGAGTCAGCTCTTTCAGATACCTCGCCCTCTTCTCCGCTAATCCCGCCCACAGGCTCGGCTCGTCCGCTTCAATCGTCGCCGAGAGCAGCTTCGGTGCATCCACAGGTAGCACCGGGTCCCGTCCGTACAGTAGATGATACGGGGACAGATGCTTCAGCGCTGCCTGCTTCGCAAACCGGTATCCCGCAAGCACCCACCAGAGATCCCTGTCCCAACTCCTCTTGTGTGTCTCTCCATAGGCCCGAAGTCCTTTCTTCACGGTTTGTATGAGCCTCTCTGTCAGCCCGTCCGATTGAGGGTGATACCTTGAGGTGACACGATGCGTAATGCCCATCTCCTCTAGCAGCTCATCAAAGCTCCCTTGAAATTCTGTCCCTTGATCGGTAAGCACCTCCCCACATGCACCGTACCTGGTCAGTACTAACTCCTCGAATGCGTCCGCTATCAGTGCGCTACTCTTGCTTGGTAATGCTCGCGCCTCCACCCATTTGCTCGTGTGCTCAACCATGATCAGGATGTACTGCTTCCCTCCTTTTGATAATGGTAACTCTCCTGCCAGGTCCAGCGACCACCTGTAACCTAACCCCCGAATCGGTAGTGAGTGCAGCTCCTCCCTCTCCTTTTCCAGCCTTGCTTTATTCCTTTGACAAGCCTCGCAGCTGGCTACCAGTCCTGCCACATCCTTCCCCATGCTTGCCCACCAGTACATGGTGCTCAGCAGCTGCCGTGTCCTGGTGATGCCGTAATGTCCCAGCTTCGCATGCACCTTCCCCATGATCCTGTTCCTCTCTTGCGGCTGCGGCACTACCCTCCATCCTTCGCTGGTCCTCAGCTGCAGCTGCTCCTGAAACCATCTGTAATGCTGCCCTCTGGCTCTTGCTCTCTCACTTACGCCTTCCTCCTCCAGTGGCTCCCCTTTGATCCAGCTCATGGTCTCCTCGTCCTCCCATATATCTGCTAACCGCTTCTCTCCCTTCTCCTGCCCCCAGCTTACGGCCACGGTGTGGGCTAAGGCCGCCAGCTGCGCTACCGGCTGCATCGGTGGTGGGTTCCTTGACAGCCCATCTGCATGCTGCAGTGTTTTACCCGGTCGGTGCCGGATCTCAAAGTCAAATCCCAACAACTTGATAGCCCATCGAGCGTTTCTTCCCGTCAGCTCTTGATTAGTCATCAACCATAGCAGTGGCTGATGATCAGTCACTAATGTGAAGTGCCGGCCCTGCAGGTATACCTTGAAATGCGTGATTCCCCACACTGCCGTCAGGCCCTCTCCCTCGTATGAGCAGTAGTTAGCCTCGGATGGGCTGCAGCTTCGGCTGGCAAAGGCTATCACTCTTTCCTCTCCCTCGATTTCTTGGCAGAGCACCGCTCCCATTCCCGTACTGCTCCAGTCCGTGTACAGGATGAAAGGCGCTTCTGCCCTCGGTATCTGCAGTAAGGTCCCTGTCCTAACTGCTTCGAGCAAGTCCTGCCTTGCTGCCTCCTCCACCTCTCCCCATTGCCAGCTCTTCCCTTCCCTCAGCAGCTGGTTCAGCACGTAGGCACGGCGACTGAAGTTTGACACAAACTTCCTGTAATAATTCAGGAAGCCGAGTAACGCCCGCAGCCCTGTCTTATCCTTTGGCGCTGCCAGGTTCTCCAGCACCTTAACCTTTGCCTCTTGTATGGCCAGCCGACCGCCCTTCACTTCAAACCCCAGGTAAGCCACCGTGTGCCTCGCTATCTTACACTTATCTGGGTGACACGTCAGCCCCGCAGCTGCTATTGCCTCCAGAGTCTGCTTCAGATCTTGCACATGCTGTTCTTTGCTGCTGCTGTAAATCAACACGTCATCAATGTAGCATGCTGCGGCTGGAACCCCCTTCAGCACTTGATCCATGGCTCTCTGGAACACTGCTGGTGCGTTACGAAGCCCGAAAGGCATAACGTTGTACTCATACAAACCGTCCACCCCGTGAAATGCTGTTTTCCGTTTATCTGCTTCTCTAATGCCTATTTGATTGAAGCCCTGCCGCAGGTCCAAGGTGGTAAAGACGGTGGCCCCTTCCAGCCGGTCGAAAATGTCTTCAGCAGTCGGCATAGGGTATCTGTCTGGGCTTGTAATCTTGTTCAGCTCCCGAAAATCCCCGCACATCCGCTTCGCTAGAATCTTTCCCGTGATGTCCTTCCTAGCAGCCACCACCGTGGCCGCCGCGTAACTTGATTCTGACGGGCGAATAATCCCTGCAGCTAGCAACTCCTCACATTTCTCCTTGCAGATGGCTGCATCCTCCGCATTCATTCGCCTCCTGCGTTGGTATGTAGGTAGCTCAGTCGTGAGGTTCAGCTCCAGCTCTCTCCCCTTGTATCTCCCCAATTCCTGCAGGTTATAGGCGAAGGTGCCCCTATGCTGCTGCAACACCTCCCTGATTGCTTCGGCTGCTTGCTCCCCTATACCTGCCCCCAGCTCCCAGGTTTTGCCCGGCTCTGCTTCCGTCCCTACTGGTGGCGCAGTTTTGATCTCCTTCTCGTCTGTGAGCTTGCTGACAGCGGCGTAAGCAGCCTGCTTGCTGCCCCTGCACTTCTCCTCTTCCGTCTTTCCCTTTTTCTCGGCTGGCCCCTTTCTCATCTCACTAATTAGCCATCGCAGTGAGTGCTGGTCTATGGCTCGGCCCAAGGCAGCTTTGCGCACCTCCTCCCCTACTCCATCTGCTGCAGTTGCCCCCGGCAGGTACCCCATGGCTAATTCCCTCTCCAAAGCAGTCGGCTCCTCCCATCTTTTCTTACGGTGATCATACACCATCCCTGGACCTGGAGTCCCTTCCACTTCGACAAATCCCCGTGCCTTTGCATAGGCCACCAGTGTCGGCCAGGCTCTCCTCGCTTCCCCCACTCGGTTACACTGATACTGTCGCGGATGATCTGGCTTTACCACTGGGGCGGCCACTCTCCCTGGTTCCAGAATGTCTTCCACGATTCGGCTCTCATCTCTCTCCACCCTTGCTAATCTCGCCCTCAGTTCTCCTTCTGGCAGGACGTTCTGCCAGTACTGCCGCACTCTATGACACCTTGCCCCCAGCTGTGCCCCGTCACAACTCACTCCCCTTCCCAATTCTGCTTCCACCAGTTCGCGTACGGCTCGGACCGGCTCCCTGCTATCACTCCTCATATCCACATGTTCTAGGATGTACGCATATTCCCCGCCAGATTCTCTCGCCCACCTCATAATCGTCAGCAGTGTTGTCACCATCGCCGTGCGGTCATCCTGCATTCCTCTTCCCTTCCCCGCTCGGGAAGTACCCTGGCACTCCCACCCTGCTACCAACAGGTCCACCTTTCCCCAGCGGTTCACGTCTTCCTTGGTAAGCTGTCCCACATCCCACTTCTCATTCTGCATGGCCTCCCGTATCACTTCCTTCGCCAGTTGAGCTGGGTACCGCTGCTGCAGTATCTGTGCATGCTCCAAGCCATCCTCCTCACCTCCGGGTCTATTTCCACATACACCCATCTTTTCACCTTCAGCCCTGCTTCCAGTGCCGCCGCTAAGCCTGCCCCCAGCCCTCCAAACAGCTCCACTAAGGTAACGCTATACTGGTTCAGGTTAGCTCCGACCTTGCCCTCTTTGGTACTCCCCCTCCTTACGCTCTCTCTTCTCATGCCCTCCGCCCTCCAAGCCTTCTTCGGTTCTGTCTTGACAAACCGCACTGGCAGCTCACTCAACTCCTTTCCCTCAATCCAGAAATCCGAGCGGTAGAGCACCTGTTCCTGCCAGGTACAAATTGTTGTACCTATCTTGAATAGCAGCTCCATCCCCAGCAGAACATCATAATCCTCCGATTCCGTCAGCCCACATTGCACTCTTATCGTCGTTTCTCCCTTCTCTCCCGGCTGCAGAGTAATCTCGATGGGGTCCTTAGTACAGGGCATCCACTTTGGTGCCCCTCCCTCGGCTGTCATGATCAGTATGCCTCTGTTTACTATTTCCAAGTCCCCTTTCTCCCGTAACTGTTCTGTCAGCTTCCTTCCCAGCAGGACACTCTGTGCGCCTGTATCCACCACGGCGTTCTCCACTAATATGCCCCTGACAGCCACTGCCTTAGGTTCTACCACCAGGGCCGTGGGTTGGCAGACGAGTCTCTCCTCAGGATGCCGTCGAGCCGTCCTCGGCTTATGGCTTTCTTCTTGTTGCCGAGGGGTTCTCCTTTCAGGCTGCTTCTGCTCTGTCCTGCCATCCTTCCCGCCGCTGCGCAGCCCCAACTCCTCTCGGTCTCTAGGTGGTATGGCCATGGCCCCGTACTCTGCCTCCTCTCTCTCATACTCCTCCTCTTCATCGTCCTCCCAAGCCAGCAATGCCTTCTCAGGGTCCTCACTAATCTCAGTCTTCTCCAACTGTCCCTTCAGCTTCGCCACCTCTCTCTCTAACTGTAACTCCCTTGCCGATTTTCCTCGCATTCTCTCTCCCTTGCTGTAGCACCTGTCTTCAGTATGCCCCCTTTTCCCACACCCGGTGCAGATAGGTGCCTTGGGGCAGTCACGTCTGAAATGTCCTTTCATCTTGCATGTGTCGCACACTATGTCTATGGCGCAGTCCTTCCGCACGTGCCCCTTTTCGCCGCACTTGTAACACCTGCGTCTATCTTCAGACGGCCTCTCTCTTCGTTCCTCTTCCCCCTGTCTCCCTTCCACCGCTGCCCAAGCAGGCCTCCGACGTTCGCTCGGCCGACTGGAGCTTGACCCCCTCATTCCTTCGAAAAACCTCTTTCCATCCTCCACTTCTTTCGCCACCTGGTACACCTGTCGCAGCTTCGCCCGTACCCCCAAGGAGTATAGTCGGCTTCTCATGTCTCGTATCAAGTCCCCATCCAGTCCGTTGACGAACTTGGTCACTAGGATGCGCTCCTCCACGCAGCCCATATCCTCTGCCAGCTCCAGTAAACGGTTATAGTAGGCCAACATCGACTCTGCCGGCGCTCTTCTGAAGTCTTGAAACTCCGCCATCCGGTCAGCCGAATGCCCCGGGAACTGCTCCTGCAGGCTTTCCAAGAAACGGTCCGTAATATCTGCCGGTAAGATATCTCCTCTGTTGCTCCGCATCAGCAGCCCCTGCCTCTCCACGCGGTAATGAGTCAACGCCTCTCCTTTGAGAGTCCTCCCCAAGCCTCTGAAAAATTCAATAGGATCCAGTCGCTCCCTATCCCAGCAGTAGCGAATGTCTTCAATCATCATCAGGTAGTTTTTCAGCGTGGGCTCCTCTCCGGGTGCCCCCGAGAAGCGGTCTGGTACCTCAATTTTGGGGGGTGTAGTACTCATCGACCTGCCTGTCCCCCAGCTTGTGTTCCCTCCTTCTCCACTCCCTGCAGGTCGCCCTGCTCTCCCGGCCTCCATGGCTTCGTATCCTCCAGCAGAGAATTCGTGATATGCTTCCTTGCCTCGCTGACTTCGTCGTTCCACCGATTGATCGTCTCCTCCCCTCAGACTACGCCTTTCTTCACGTTGATCTTCTTCTCCTCTCTGACTCCGCCGTTCTTCTCGATGATCTTCCCCTCCCTTCTGACTTCGTCGATCTTCATGTTGATCGTCTCCTCCCAGATCTGGATTTCCTCGGCGAGATCCACTCCCCACAGGTCGCCCTCCACTCCTCTCCGCGGGCAAGTCGCATGCAGAGCTCGACTGTTGTTCTCCGTGTACACCTCGTTCTTCCTCCCGATCCCCGCCTTGGTTACCGCGCGAGATCGTCCCTCCTTCGCCCGCCCGAAATCCAGGCATCCTGACCGGCGGATCACGTCCCTCCATCATCCTCGCCGGGAATCGGTGTCCAGAGCGCAGTTGATGAGTGTGAAGCTCACGGTCGAAATTACTCATTCCTCACGGTGCATCACCGTGGGCAACTCCAGGCAGTAGATCCTGCCACCTCTTCTCTCAACAATCGTAATCCTGACTACCCTTTTTGCTTGTATGAAACAAGACTTAACTCCCTCGCAAGGGCTCCGCCGATTTGCTTCAGCTCCTCTCTACTGCTAGTTCCCCGTGGTTTAGGAAATCACAATTGCAGTAAACGAGAAACATACAAGCAAAAAGCAACGAGTCTGAGCGCTACCCCAGTCTACATCCCCTCCTGCCTAGGTGCCTTGTCCCGCAAGCTACCTCTACTCCTAAGCGCGAGTCAGCCGAGCTGATCGCGTAGGCTTCAAGGTGCTAGCTGGGTCCCACTCGGCCCACTAGGCATGCACCGCCTTCCAGCCTGGTGAATGGCGAATTGAATTCCCAGGCTGGCTGGAATCGAATTCGCCACCAACCTCCCCCCTAACCACCTCGAAATCCTCAGCAGCTCGACTCTGTATAGTACAGTAACATTCCAAAAGAGCAAACAAAGTAAAATGCAAAAAGCAGTAAACTATAGTACACCTCACCTTGGCTGCTGTGTAATTCACACTTAGTTGCCAGCTAAGTGTTAATCACGCGACAGGAGTTGAAGTTTTCATCGTCGGTGCTCCCAATGGGTAACAAGAGGAGAAAACGCCCTCACCTGAACAGCTCTAAGGAGGAACGCGGAGTTGAAGTAATCATCGTCGGTGCTCCCAATGGGCAACAGCAGCACGTCGACGCCGTCCCGCACAGCCTGCTCCACAGCAGCCATCACATCGCCCACGCTGCTCTCCCCCCCCCACACCGCCTTGTACACCGCTATTCTCGCCCGCGGCGCCATGCCGCTCATCCGACCAATCACGCGGCTCCGCGGGCCCACCCTGAAGGGAATATTGCTGTTGCCGGCCGCAGCGCCGGCACACCAAGTGCCGTGCCCCGTGCTGTCCCTAGGGGAGGCGTATTCCCCCTTCGGATACCCCTTGTTTGCCTTGAGGTAAGCCGCTGAGAAGAATTGAGCGGCGATGATTTTGTTATTGCAGGAGGTGGCTTTAAAGTCTTTGGTCGCCGCGCATTTGCCCCGCCAGGTCCTTTTCGGGCGGAGATACCCCCGCCCGGAAAACGCGGGGTGCTCCGGCCAAATACCCGAGTCCACCACGCCTATAATCACGTTTTCCCCTGCCCGGTTCGCCCCGCCGAGACCTTTCCAGACTACAGAGGAGAGGTTGAGAAAGGCGGGTGTGATTGTAGTGAGGGGAGCGAGCGATCTCGACGGCTCGATTCGATCGACGGCTGGATGGCGTTTGAGCCGATGCAGCTGGGAGGGTGTGAGTGAGACGCAAAACGCGTTACTTAGGTAAGTGTAGGAGTAAAGGAGATCGGAAGGGGAGAGGCCGATGCTGGCGGCCGTGTGGGAATGGAGGGAGGCGAGTTGCTGAGTGTAAGCAAGCACGTGAGAGGCTTTAGGATCGGGCCTGGGGGGAATTGGTGTGGGATTTTCGTTTGTGGTCCCCACTGCTGCCACGTCAGCATCGGCGTCAGTGGCGGCGGCAGTGGCAGTGGCTTCAAAGCCGGGAACGCCGCCGGTGTAACTGACAGCGGGTGGTAACCCTCTCATGTATACAGTGTACACTTGGTTACTGTAGCTCCTCCTGCTGCTACTGCTGCTGCTGCTGCTGCTGCTGCTGCTGCTGCTGCTGCTGCTGCTGCTGCTGCTGCTGCTGCTGCTGCTGCTGCTGCTGCTGCTGCTGCTGCTGCTGCTGCTGCTGCTGCTGCTGCTGCTGCTGCTCCCACTGTCTCCTCTGCTTTCACTGCCCCCACTGCCCCCACTGCTCCCACTCCTCTCACTGCTCCCACCAGTAATTATTCGAAAATCCTCTTGCTGTTGCTTCAGTCGCAAGGCAGCATCCGACAAAGCTTCCTTTGGAGCAACGGAAGCTGCCGTGGCGAGGTGGGACGAGTACAACACTGACGTGGCAGGGGAGTCCGACAAAAGGTCCGATGCTGACGTGGCGAGGGGTCCGTCCAGCTGTTCATGGAATCTCGCGTGGTGCAGCCAAAGGGGGAGCGAGTCGGTGTCGGTCAGACCGCTGGCGGCACGCACACGTGGCACGTGGGCTGATGGTGGGGGGAGAGGGGGGAGGGACAGGGTGGGAGGGGAATGGAATGGGTGGTGCAGCCTAAGGGGGAACGGGTGAGACTGCGTCGGTGCCGGTCAGATCGCTGGCGGCGCGCACACTTGGCGTGAGCGCTGAGGAAAAATAGGAGGTGGTTTCGAGTGTGTGGAGGGGTGGGGGTGGGGTGGGGGAGGAGACGGCAAAGAGGAGGTGGGTGGTTTTGAGTCGACTCAAACGTCAAACGCTGGCGGCACGCACACGTGGAGTGAGGTCTCTCGGAAAAAAGAGGAGGGAAACGAGGAGGTTGGGACGGTGGATAGTTTTGAGGGAGGAATGGGGGGAGGATGGGTGGAGGAGGAAAATAGGGAGAAAGGGGGGAACGGAATCAGTCAGAAAGGGGTCGTTGCTTTTTTCTGAGTTATTTATGGCTGAGTGCGGTGGAGGGAGGGTGAAAGGAGGTGGAAAGGGATGGAAGGGGGTGGAAGGTTGGGGGCAAAGGGGGGAAGTGGGGAACGGAGGGGGTTGGGTTGGAGAGGGAGCGGGAGGAGAGGGAGGAGGATGGAGGTTTCCGAGGCGGCGAGCACGGGAAAATCGGGTGGAAGTGCAAGTGGGCCCATAGGAAAAGTCGGGAACTAAACACACACGCACACTCAAATGCACGCGCACGCGCACACCGACGCGCGCACTCACGCGCGCGCACACACAATAAGGTAAGGGAATGTATTATCTCTCGCTTTATGGTGTGGCGATACCCTACTGCACCGTGTGGCATCGCGCGACTCACTGGAGGCGACGAGAAGAGCGACGAGCGACAGAAGCAGGCGATCTGTGCGATCCATGTCGTGCGACCAGTTCGCGAAACCTGAGTTTCGCTCACGAAGCGATGGCGTTCCGATCAAAGCGACGGCTTCTGCGACAAAATCCACAGTGTCTCTTTACGACGGTGAACGAGAAACTAGTTGCGGTACGCTCGCGGTCCGCCCGAAAAAACTCTGATACAGTGCGGTTATTGCGACAGGGCAAGTTATTCGAAGGCGTTTTGCGTGCGACTGCTCTAATTTCGCGTTTGCGACGATCTTTGAGTCGACAACTAAATCGTTTGCGAAGAGAAAAGCTGTTAGAAGCTGTCTGCTCTAATTTACCGCGCACGTACTACAGACGGTACGACACAATTCCACGTCGAATTTCTTGCCGGTTAGCATGATTGGAACCATCCATTTCTCCCATGCTTCCTAAGCCGGTTCAAGGAAAGCACACAGGAAAGGCGAAAATATATAGGTACTGCGTAAAAGACCACTCGTAAGGCTACGGCTGCAGCTGTGTCTAATAAGCAGTCACGATTACCGCTCGCATGCGCTAAGCGCGATGGAGCTCAAATGGCGTCCTGAAGAGATTAGATAGGGCAGTGTGCTGAAAAACGACGGCGAACGCCACGGAAGGGAGGGCTGTTACGAGCAAAGGGTGTCTAAAAATGGCGAATGGAACGTGTCGAGACACGCGGTGGGATGAATGAAACCCTAAAAAACGTTTGTCAGATGGAAGGAAATGTAATGCCAGCATAATCGCGACACCATATCACCACTTTTCAATCAGTGGTTGTGAAGTCTGAGGGTTCGTGAATTGTGACTGATGACTGTGTGTGTGGGCGTCTGCTCAGCTGCCTCACACACACCACAAATTACTACTGAGCGGGCTGGTTGGGCAGGTACGTTAGGCGACGGGAGGGTCCCTTCTGCATCCCTCGAGCCATGGCTGAGTAGAAACTGTTTGAGAGGTGCGATGCGAAGCTTTCCATCCAGAGGTCGTAGCTAGTTTGTATCTGTCATTACGTTAGTTGTGGAATGTTCGGCGTAATGTCAAACTTATGTGTCAATAACCAAGACACCGGATCTGACACTCGCGGGAAGAGATCGGGTCGAGTCGGGTGCAGTACATCACTTGTTCAAAACACGTCCTGAGTTGCCTGATACGTTGTGGAACGCTGTGGCGAACAAAAACGCCGAATTTCGCTGCCAGCGCTACCCGCGTCTCGTGTGTGCCCAAAACACAAGCAGGACCTGGGGGGCAGCAAAATGGCAGCCCTTGGTGGCCGCCGCCAGCAGCCGAATTGGCAAACCGCAAACCGCGACAACAATGACCAATGTCGTCGATTCGTTACAGCAGCTGTACGAGATTCGCAACCAATTACGCTATGTGCTTGTAGCGAGCTCACCAATCAGCTTGGTTGGTGAGAGTTCATCTGGAACATGGTAGGCTCCCTCTCAGGTGTGAGGTTTTTCAGTTTCTCGAATGTCCAACCAACACAGAAACTAGGCGAGGCGCAGAGGTTTTTGAAAGCCCTGGCGAAACAGCCGGCTTTCAACTGGTAACCTGAGCCAGGCAGGCCTACGCTGTCTCAGTCGAAGCACCTCTTAAAGAGTCAATGCAGAGTAAGTGAAATTTCTGAAAAATTAATTACGATATGTAGTCAAGAGTTCTGATATTATCTAATGCCTGCTTGACATTTCATAGAAAGTGAGGTTGGGCTTGCATTTCTGCTTCCGGCAGAATTGAATCTAAACACCCATTCAAAAAGAAGGGCCCACTGGTATTTAATTAGAATACATACCAGACAGCTATCAGTCCTGCTGACGTGGCAGTGTACAATACATGGATTCCTAAAACATGCAGTCCTCTTAACTTCTTATTGCCCTCCTTGCGGCTTTATGCCACAGCGGGAAGCTCGCCAGTGTTGAACGCAGAGAACCGGCAGTCAGTCGCGGTGACGGAAGACGTCTCATAGTCAGAAACCTTTCCGTCAAGGAAGCCCTTGCCCTCCGCTCCGTCAGCGGAAACGGGATGGTGCAGAACGGCAGCCAGACGGGAGAAGTCGGTCGTACGCTTCTCCCTGCCGGTACGGTACGTCTGGCCCATGACACCGTGCACGTCAGCAGTGGGTGCCACGTCAGTGAACATCACGTTGATGTGCGTCTCGGCGTCGTCAGGCGTCTGGAGGAGCGGGTGGGCGACGCGGAGCCTCAGATCCAGCTCCATCTGATCGCCGATCTTAACCGTGTATGCATCCACATCGTACGGTCCAACCTTCTCGATCTTGTTGAAGGTGAGAGTCAGATCAGCGATCTTCTTGCTCTCGCCGACCTTCATCCTCGGAAGTGCCTTGGTGTCTGCGACGATGGATTTCACGAAACCGTCGCCACGGGCCTGCTCCTTGCCGTCACGAGCGGTCATGACGAAGCTGTGCGACGAACCGTCGCGCGACCTCCACATGATCGCGAGCTGGCGAATCCACGTGCGAACCGCCTTGCCGTTCACGATGAGCGCGGCGCCATCGGTGCGGTCGTCGTAATATCCACGCATGCCCATGTTGATGTGCATCTGACGGTCCGTGTACAGGCAGAAAGATTTCTCGGGCAGCCCGTTGAACTCGAAGCGCGTTCCGTGCGCGCCGAGGAAATGCGGGTCGTCCTTGGTGGTCGGGCAGGCCTTGCCGATGCGGATCTTCTTTCCGCCGCCCTTCACGGGCTCGATGCCGTCGATTGCGGGGAGCAGGATGCACTTGCCGCAAGGCTTTCCGGAGCAAGTGTCGGAGCTTCCTCCGGAGGATCTACGAGGGGACGAGGGGTAGAATCAACGCACGAGGGGAACGAGAGGAAACGAGAGAGAAGGCTGTTATGAGTACTTGAGAGGCAACGGTACGGCTTGAAGGCAAAGGGGGAAATTACTAATGGAAATGCGAACGCGAAAGGGGGGTTGGGGAAGAGGAAGAGGATAACCTGGTATTGGGAAGGGCAATGGAGAGTACTGATTCCAAGGGATCTGTAAGGGACAAAGATCACGAGAGGGGATGGTAGGGAAAGCGACGTACGGGATATGCACCCAGAAGCGGCAGTTGAAGGAGGTGGTGCCTGTGGTGTTGCTGCACTTGTTGCAGCACGCCTTGGCGTGAATGCTGCCCGCCGCGCAGTACGGCTTCGACGACGACGGCGGGGAGCTCACGCACGCGCCGTATTCGGGGATCTGCGCGTGGGGAAGGCGGGATGATGCGGAAGGGGGCAGAAGAAAATGAGCGCGGGCCATGAGCGGGAGGAAGTCGGGTCCAGAGACAGGGACGAGGGGAAGGGCGAGGCGATTCTGCCAAGAGGCACACGGGATTGATAGCCGACTGGTTGGGGTAATGGTGCTAACCGTCCAGTAGTCGAACGAGCCGGAGGTGTAGTCGCAGCCGCCCTTGGTGCATAGGCCCTTGAGGTCTTGCGGGTAGGGCTTGGCAGCTGGCTTTGCGGCGTGCGCAGCGGCCGCCATTGCCAGAACGGCGATAAGAATCGCGAGCCGGGATGCCATGGCGACGCTGCTTCTGTGAGACCTGCACTGGCTGGAGTCTATTACTGGTACTGTTCAGCAAGCTGTTGACGAAACTTGATAAACTAAGAGGAACTGGAAATCGGTGCCTGTTTCAACACTCCGCGCCCTTTTGATGTCGTAAGAGGATCAAGGAGCACACACCGCAGGTTGAAGGCTGCTCCTGAGTATTCCCATGCGACGACAAAGCGATGGGACCACGGACAACGTAAGGACAGAAACAACACTTCTCGGGCAGCGTGTACGAAGTTAGGGTGCTTTCCGATTAAGGTGGAGTCGCCTGGGAGACGCTCAGTTTAGTAAAAAAGAGGCATCTTTCTACGCTGAAACGGAGAGAAAGGGCAAGGACGGTGAATGTAAATATTAACGAATCTGACCGAATTCTGAGATGAGTTTTTTTGCGGCTACAAGACAGCAATCACCCTGGCTCCAGCACTTTCCATGTGCGGTGAAGGTCTCCTCCAGAACACTGTCCTGGCTGGCGGAATCGAACAGCTATAGCAAGCCAGCTACACCAAACGAAGGGCCAACAGAAGTGATACACCTGAATGGTCATCTGCGCCTTGTCCGGAACAGAGCTCGATAGCTTCTCGGAGCAGGTGAGAAGCTGTAAAAACACCTGACAGTGCACAACGGACAATCACTTGCGCAGCGTCACTAACAGTGACTTCGCTACCGAAATCAGCTGTCGTTGGAACTGAATGTTCCTGCAAGTGTTTTCCTATACCAAGTTTTTCTGCTTTGTCTGTTTCAATCCTAAAGGTCTCGTCAGATCTTGAGGGCTGAAGGAATATTTGAAGAATGATCTGGATTCAACATCTTTGTGTTGTATCACACAGAAAACCCTAAAAAAAGAACCCACTATAACACCCCCACCCACCCCCCCCTCCTCCCCCCCCTCCCCTCCCTCCCCCCTCACTACATTCCCTAGTCCCATAAAAGCGCGCATGAATAGAAAGCTGAAGCCGACACGAGCGAGGTCTACTCCAAACAGCAGTCCACCCTAAGCTCGGGGCAGCGGCAGTCTATTCCATGCTTGGGTAGCAGCGGTCTATCCCATGCCGAATTCCCCCGGAACCGAAGTCAGGAAAAGCCTGCAGCAGCAGCCAGCAGCAGTGGTGGTGGTACGGGCGGCCTCGGGGGGGAAAGGACTCAGAGATCAGTCATGAATCGGCTCGTCAAGCATTGTACCAGCAGCATGTGCAAGGCTTGGTGCAATGCCGAGCGCAGCAGCAGCAGTGGCAGCAGCAGCAGCAGCAGCATATTTGCAACAAATGGACAAAGGCAGAACTGCTTTCCACCAACCCTTCCAGATCCCGCTTCCCCCCACTTCTAGCCCCCTCTCTCCCCCTCAACCCCTATCATTTCCCTCGTGTAACTCCCATGGCTGCATCTCCATCTCGGGGGAGATAATCCAGCCACTGAAACCCTCAGCCCTGGGGTCCAGACAACGCACCCAAACGTCTAACCAGCCCAGCAATATGGACTCCTCTCCAGCACCTGTACTCTAAGTTGTCTGAAGAAAGATCTTCGCACCACCATTATCCGGCAACACTTGAGAGTCTTCCCCATTCTACCCGCTCCAATTATTCTTGTAATAATTACCAAAATGATGGGCATCACTGATGGGTACACTGTCTTTTCCCATCAGCCATCCATGCATCAACTGCAACCCACCAATGTAACAGCTGCCACCCACACATGAAGCAGCTGCCATTCACCCACGTTAAAGCTGCTTCACATCACACAGAGCAGCTAGCCCTGCCTTTTGCCTTGCCCCCACCCAGCACGTATCGAGGTGGTTTTTGAGGCGCCTCAAACACAACACCCATGCAGCAGCTGCTTCGCCTCACACAGAGCAGCTAGCCCTGCCTTTTGCCTTTCCCCCACCCAGCACTTTTAACTTTCCCTTCCAGAACCCCTCCCCTTCATCCTCCCCCCCCCCTTGGGCCCCACTCCCCCCTGCTTGCTCCCTTCCCCCATGTTTCCTCGCTTCTTTCCTGTCATCTTCCCTCCCGTCCATCCTTCCCTCTTCCTTCAGAATCTGCCATGCCTCTCCCTCTCTCCCACGCTCGTTGGCCCCATCACCTTCGCTTCCCCCATCTCCCTTCCCGCCCCATGGGTTCGATCCAACGGTTGCGCTCGCCCGTAGCCCCACTTTCTCCAGCCGGGTAGATAGAGAATTTCTTCGTAACCTGCCCCGAATCTGCCCAGCCGTTTCATCCCCTCTCCCTGCTCCGGCTTCGCTCCCAGACCCTTGAAGTGACAACCTCCTTCCTCTCCTCCCCGCCCCTTCCTCCTCCTCCATCTCCTCACTCCCCCCTCCCTGTCCACCACCCCCTTTGCCCCAACCTTTCCCAAACAGCTTAAGCCACATCTTTCCGAGTGAACCTTCCCCTCCCTTCTGATTGCTGCCACTACTACTGCTACTCATCAAACCACCAGAGCCAGCAGCAACAGGAGTGGAACTACCAGCAGCAGCAGAAGCCGCGGCAGCAGCAGCAGCAGCAACAGCGGCAGCAGCAGTGGGTGTAGCAGCAGAGAACCCGCTAGCAGTACTACTGGCAGGGCTGGCGTCACCACCCCCCCAACCGCTCTGCACCGGCCAGAACCCTCCGGATTTCACCGTGTTCAGCGGGCTTTTAGGCCCAAACGCTTTAAACACCTTGGAAGTACGTCTAGGTTTAGAGGAGGGAGGCACGGGCGGGACTTGGGAGCGGGAGGGGGAAGTGGTGGAAATGGGGGAAGCGGAGGGAGAGCTCTGGTAGTCGGGGAAAGCAGGGCGGCTGGTACGGTCAGGAGCAGGTGAGGAGGGGGCGAAAGCAGTAGCAGGAGAGTTAGTCTGTCCTACTGCTGCTCTTGCAGGTGATACTGCTCCAGTTGCTCCTCCCTTTGCTCCCACTCCTGCTGCTCCTGCTCGTCCATACTGTGGGGATCGCAGCATTACCTCGGAACGACCATCTATACTGGATGCGCAGGAGCGAGCAGGAGAGGCCAGGTGCATCGAACAACCGGGCGAGGCCAGATACGTGGAATCTGCCACACCAGAACCAGCCGCACCACCAGCTGCTGCTACTTCCGCACCTCCCCCCAAACCTCCTGCCGCAGCATGCCGGTCGCAGTCCGTGTAGGTTCGGCGGAGGACAGGAACGGCGACAGAACTCGCAGGAGACTGAGGCGACGCAGACGGCTCGGACACAATACTCGTAGATGCACCAAACCGGTCGGTTACGCGGTAACCATCGCTCCCAGCCATTGGAACACAACTGTCGCTCCCAGGCCCGGGTTTCCATTCTGAGCTAGAGCTCGGCGGTAAAGTCCATTTCTGAGACGCACCAAAAACTGCTATGTCCCCACCAGTGTCCCCACCAGTGGCCCCACCAGTGGCCACACCAGTGGCCACACCAGTGGCTATATCCCTGCCGCTACCAGCAGTGGCTATGTCTCCAGCGCTACCTGCACCAAGGAACCTGCGGCTGCTGCTGGCACTGCCGCTTCTGCCACTGTCACCGCGCGGGTAACCAGGAGAGTAACCACCAGCACTAGGGTTACCACCAGCGATCCTGCCAGTAGGACCGAAAGCAGTACTGCTGCTGTTGACATTGTGTTCTGCACCTGTGCCTGTTCCCTCAAGCTCCTCGATCTCTTGCGCTAGGCTGCTTCTTCTGTTACCCGCAGGCGCCAAATCCGGAAAAGCAACTCTGCCTGGAGAAGATGAGCTTATAACGGGGACAGACTGTACTGATCCGGCTTCCTTCTCCAAATCCGCGAGCTCTCGAGCCAGAGGGCTCGACCTAGGGGGGAGGTTGGAGTCCCGCAGAGGGCTGCTCCTGTGTGGCCCATCCACTGGGGTGTGACTATAAGAGTTGCTTCTTGAAGCGTGACTATACGAGCCGTCCATGTCCGGAAAGGCATGTGAGGAAACCGCAGCAGTGGCAGCGGAAGGAGAAGCAGAGGAGCCCAGTCTGGACAGCCGTGACGGTGTGATGGAACCCGAAGGCGACATGCCAGGAGACACTCCTGAAACCGCACCCTTCCTCCCTTGACTGCTCATTGTCCTTCTTCCTTGCACCGCTTCCCACCCCTCTCCACCCCTTCCGCCCTCTCCCCGCTCGCCCTCCTCCCCCTCGTCCAGGCCACTCGATCGTACGTTCCAACTATGGCTGTGCACAAACGCGCGGTCCCCTCTCTGCGCCGCGGCCACTGCTGCCGAAACACTCCGCCACTCAAACCCCAACCCAGGACCCCCTCCATCCTCCCCACCCCCATTCCCATCTCCTTCCCCCCCATGCCCTTCCCGCAACGCCCCCTTCCCCCCGTCCTCGTCGTCCCCTTCCTGCATGGCGGCTGCGAGCTGGGCGAGGGCCTGCGGGGGTAACGTTACGCTCATGTTCCACCCGCTTCCATCGCTGCCCGCGATGCCAGCTGTTGGCCTCTCATTGATCGAGAGACGTTTTCCCGAGCCTGAGCCGCGAAGGGCAGCAGGGGAGCCGAAGGAGGGCGCGATGGGGGGGGTGGAGGTGCCTCGGGGGGGGTATCCCGGAGAGGGGCGGGCAGGCGCAACTGGGGACGGTTCAACTGCGGTAGGCCGAGATTGCAGCTCTGCTCCTCCTCCTTCTCCTCCACTGCCGTCCCTGCTGCTATCAACGGCATTTGCCTTGGCCGACCGACTGTTTCTATCTGCTGGTCTCACGGGTTGACCCAGGTCAAGGGACGGGCCTACCGGCCGGATGGGTTGACCGAGGTCAAAGCAGGGGTCAACGGCGCACCCTGACACATCCGCCCCCACTCCCACCAGCACCTCCCCCACCTCCTGCAGGAGCCTCTGTCTCGGCGTGAGACGACTGCCCGCACTCCCCCTCCCCCCGCTCCCCTCGCAACTGTTCCGCCCGGTACCTCCCCCTTTCCGCCTGCCTCTTCCCCGCCCGATTCCCGGATCCGACGCGGGGAGTCGCTGCCACGTGGCACCCTTCAGCGCTTGCCCCGTCACCAGGGTGGCACCATCAATCCACCCTGAGTCATCATCATCATCATCATTATCCCTACCGTCCTTGCCGTCCCTGCTGTTCCTACCCCCAGCATCGCTCCCCCCAGCTGCTTGCTGCTGCTCTCTCGTCTGTTGATCCTGACCGTTCGATCTGCTGCTTCTTGACCCTGTACCTGTTCCTGTACCGGCCGCTGGCATCCCTTCCGCTTCCCCGTCTGCGGAACTCCGCCTATTGTCACAGTTCTCAGGATCGCCCGCTTCATCCTCCCCCCTAAGCTCTGCCCTGTCCTCCCCACCACCACCACCACCACCATCACCTTCACTATAATCACCATCATCCTCGTAATCATCCCACCCCCCTTCCTCAACCTCCTCCCCCTCCTCGCTCTCCTCCCCATCCTGACTCTCACCTGCGGGAAACGAATCCTCCGACTTGGTCCGATACGCGAACGGCGCGTCGTGGTAGATCGTCAGCGGCGGCGGCTGCGCGCCTTCCTCGATCTTTCCTCTGTGCGAGCGGAAGGTCGACGCGAACGACTTGCGGATGTTGTCGCGCGTCGCGTCGGGCAGCGGCGCGCCCGAGTGCAGGTCGCACTTGCGCGCGGAGTAGAGGAACGCCGTGCGCACGCGCCCCAGCAGCCCGCGCGCCTGATCCTTGGTGAGCGGGTCGTAGCCCAGACAGAAGAACACGATTCCGTCCTTTGCCATCAGAAACAGCACGAACAGCCGCCCGTGGCCCTGGGAACGGGGGGTGGGGACGGGGGGAGCGGTGGAGGCAGAGGGGGGGGAGCGACGGAGGGGAGGGTCGGGGGTAGACGGAAAAAGGGGGCCTTTCGATCTGCTCTCTTGGTGAGGTATGTGCGGACTGCGGAAAAACGCGCCCCAGCAGCCCACGCGCCTGCCTGATCCTTGGTAAGCAGGTCGTTGCCCAGACAAAAGAAGACGATTCCGTCCTTTGCCATTAGAAACAGCACAAACAGACGCTCGTGGCCCTGGGAACGGGGGTTGGGGAGGGAACAGGATGAGGAGGGCGGGAGGGGGGGAGGGAGGAAATAGGGTGGAAGGCGGGAGGGAAGAGGGAAGGAGAAGAGCAAAAGAGCGGAGGACCCGGGAGAGAAGATGGAGAAGGTTATCACTGTCCGTTATTCGCTCGAGGTCCTTGCAATGGTTGCGTTTAAGATTCCTGCCAACAGTGACAGAATCTAGGCGACTTCTGGGACGCCTGAAAACAGTCTCATTGTCCGCGACTCGCTCGAGGTCATGACAATCGTTGGGTTCCTGGTGACAGGTACAGAGTTATTAAACGCCTGAAAAGGCAATCGCTGCGTTCGATATCCAGGCTTACAGTCACTAAAGGGCTCTGCGACATTTGAAGTCTAGAAAAAATGTGATCTTTCAGTTTGATCAAGCGTCAGGAGAGCAAAAAAAAAAAAAAACAAAACAAAACAAAACAAAAAAAGGGACGCTTGAACAAAGCGGCGGCCAATAGAGCACATGACGGCGGAAACATTGTTCGAGCAATATTGTATTGTTGCTACATTCGAGCACCGGAAGGAGCAATATGTAGAATCTCAGGACAGTTGAGAAAATATCGGTGACAAATTATGCCTAAAAATCATAATAGTGCCTTTTTTTTCCCTTCGTGTCGCAAAATTCAACCTTACCATGGAGATTTGCGATGCATGTTCCGGGAGAGCGGGTAATGCGGAGGAGATCGCCTCTCGGTACGCGTCCCGGTCTCGGCCGTAATCCGCGAGAATATTACCCTTGCTCGTCGCAATCCCCGCGTACGCCACCAACTCTACTTCCTCCATCTTCAACGAACAGTCTTCACCTTAGAGAGTACCCGTATATTATACACTTAAATTGGAGCCTCTTCGATCGTGCAACGAGAGTTGCTAGGAAGCAATGTCAGAGCAGTCAATCCAGAAATGTAAGCGACACTGCAATGGTGGCCATAAATGTGATCACAAAGCCCGCGAGTTCGTCTGCTTAACTAAATAAGAGGCAACGTTACGCCGAACCTCGGGCGATGGCTGCTGACTGGGAACTGCTGCCACTAAGATATGATCCTATTGCGAGAATCACGGAATGAAGACGTCGTGCTAGGTGTGCCTTGGGAATATCAGGCAGATAGCCAGGTGGTGCAGAACATGACATCTGTTTGTTTGTTGTTACTACGGTATACTACGTTCCTATACGGTTTGTTTTTGCTAGACTCGGGGAACAAGCAAGATCGGCGTAGTAGGTGGAGGCTGCGCCAGGGCTGCTAGGCGGAAAACTATCTAGCCGGGGGAGTGAATGAAAGCTTGGCGCGCATATGCGGCGCATTCAAGCCAATCCACATTCTTATGTGATGTGCGGGCAGAGAGGCCCGTTGGATGTTGGGAGGGAAGTGACCCTAAAGGACAATGGTCAAGGTGCACTAGTTCTGAATCTTGAGATGTGTACATCGAGGATTTTGTAGCATAACACCAAGCTAAGAAAAAAAACTAGGATACTGTTGAAATGAAAACAACAGGCCCAACCAAGTCACACTCCACACACACACACACACACACACACACACACACACACACACACACACACACACACACACACTCACGAGCACTCTATTTCACTAATGCACACTCTTGTATGTCAAAAAATATTTACAAAACATCAAAACCTAAAGAAAATTACGCTTGCGGTTATACCTCTGCTGGTGAGGAGTTATTGTAAACATTATAGCAATAGCAAGCAGCTATCGTTGCATTCTCCACCAAACTTATTATATTTGTAAGACATACCGGTACTCATACCTCGTCGTCCGTCAAATACGCATCTAGTCCATTCATTTTCTGATGAAGCACTCTCAACCTGAGAATATCCCCAGAGAAAGTTGACCGTGGCGTGCCTATAAAGATGCGTGCATTAGCGCATATATGCTTCTCCGCGAGCGCCCTGAGTATACCATCCTCCTCTGAGTCCAGATCCTGGAAATTCCTCACCCAGGGAAATTGTGAATACTCCTCGGATCCCTTAGCAAACTCGGGCAGGCGCACTACCACAAGGGGTCTCCAGCTACCAGAACCTGAATGGTAGGGAGCAAGGAAGATCAATGGTTAGGGCATGGGAGGTGGAATAGAAGGAACAGGGCAAGAATATACATGATAACAATTAGACAAATGTAGAGTAAGTTAGCAACCCCATAGGAATACTTAGGCAAGTCACTCTAGGAGAGACTGAGAAATTACTTCTCCCCATAAATCAGTAGGATGCATAGAGCTAGACTGGGGTTGAGAAGCAACGGTGTACACTCACCAAGAAACAGCTTCTCCAGCAGTTGAATCTCGGACGGGCTTGCATCAGTTGCGAGGTACACCACGGACACGCCCGTATCCCTCAAACGCTCGATCACGAAATAAGCGACAGTGACGATAGGAAGGAAAGAGCTACGCTCCCTTCCATTGTCCTCCTTCCGATAAGTCCTGGAGAAGTCGCTTCGCCTTAGGTGCAGCGCTGCATACTCTGACCCCAGAAAAGTGTCGATGAATCCATTCACGAAGTTCTCTATAACGGGGGGAGGCTGCCAGATGTCCGCGCAGGTGCTTGTAAAGGGCGCAACCGCGCCCTCGAAGTAGAAAGGAAGCCCGCGCAAACCCATTCCATAGGCATCCCCAAGGCTGATGACAGGAGCGTCATTGTAGGGGATGTATGCGCGCAGAAAGTCGTTAACGTCTTTGGAGGGTATGCTGGGGTACTCGAGCTTGCTGGGTAGCGTGATGTGCGGATAGTGTTCCTTGATCTGTAGCATGTGAACGGGGTTGGGTCAGATGGGGATGGGTATGGGGATGGCTGAGCGTGGTGGGGCAAATCAAGCATTCCGGCAGAGTAGTAACGTGCTGGTAGTGCCCTGGATCACTGGGATGGGGATTGGGGGTGGGGATGGAGATGGGGGTGGCTATTCTGGTTCAGATAGAAAGGCGACTGCAGCGAGACGTTTGCGTTCACATGGGTTCGGCGGTGGGAACGGGAAAGGAATTAGGGTAAGTTGGGGACGGGGATAGAAAAGAGGGTGTTGATTCGGATGGAGTGGCTGAGCACGCTTCAGATACCCAGGATAATAGAGAAGTGCTGCTCACCCTGGCCCAGTTGTCGAGACACGAATGGTTCGAAAAGCACGCAATGTGATCGATTGCCACGTCACGACCCTCCCTCGCCACGTACTCATCCACCGTAATAACTGTCTCGTTAGTGCCATACGCCGGCGCGAGGCACGCCCTCATTCTAGGCACATCCACGATATTGTCCCATCGCCAGCAGAACGTCGCGAAGGCCACGCCGCAACTCTCGGTAGGAATAACAAGAGTTCGCTGCAGAAACGCGGCGGCGATTAAGTAGTTCCGCAAGCACCGTTCCTGATTGGACAGCCGCCCGTACACGCACAGTGCCAGAAGATACCGGTTTTTTCGGGGAGTCCAGGATTCGATCTTCGGCTCGTTCAAGTCGATCTGCTGCGCCGACGGGTACGGAGATTTGATCTTCCTCGGCTTCGGCTTGTCGCCGTTTCTACCCTTCTCTCCCTTTGCCTCTATAACGGGGATACGGTCTCCGTTACTGGGTCCGCTTTGCATCAAGTGCACAATCTCTGCCAAGGCCCGTCTTACGGTGTGAGGCTCCCTCGGTGCTACGTTTTTCCCTGCGCCCCCTGACGAGCTGAGAGTCAAGCTAGCCCTACTGCTGTGGACTTCGTCGCGGCGGCGTTTGACATTCTGAATGATGCTGCTGCTCTGTCGTATTTTCAGAGGAACCGAACCGCCACGTCTCCCGCTTCTGACAGTGGTCCTGTATGCGGATATTCTGCCTCCGTAGATTTTCACGCTATCTACGATCTTAACAGAAGGCTTTCCGCGAAACTTCCCAGCTGTAAGCGGCGATAGGAAATCCCTCCAGTTTTCGTTTATTTTTCCCCAATGTAGGGACCTTCGCCATGTATCTGGTAGCGATAACGCATGCTCCCTTGCGGTTTCAGAGGCGACCAAGGCGCATTCGAGGTTACAAAGTAGCAGCGACGCTAAGAATAAGCTTAGATTGATGCTTCTAGCATGAGTGGAAGATGAACAAGGGACAAATTTCATGCTCACCATTGTGAACTCACGCGGGGACGAGAGGAATTAGAGAGAGTTTTGGCGTGAATATTCTACTATATATGTGACTCAAGTCTCGCAATAAACAGTGAGTCACAGCGGGAGCTCTTTATACTCGCGACAGTTTCACCTCGAGGGCCTTATCTCATCACCAGACCCAGTCCTGCTCTTGTGTCTTGACTGAGGAAATGGTTTGGGATGTGTGAAGCTCACTTCTCCCCCTGATCCAATTGTCGCGTCGCGTTGCGTGACAAATTTCGTTTGCTTCCTGACCCCACGCCCCACCCTGCTGTGGGTAACTGTCGTGAACGAAGCTGTTGCGTATCAGCGCTTCACCTCACTCGTTTCTCCACACTCGGTGTAGCTGGCTGACCCGCGACCACGGCCCACGACGGAAGCGCCCGACGTCCGCTGCACTTCTCACCAATCGTGAAGCTGCAAGTGAGTGCTGCGAAAACGTTACGTGTCTCGCGAGATGAAAGAGCCACCATTCAACAGAGGTACGAACAAAATGGTGGCAGAGTATGGAAATGGTGGTGGTGGTGGTGGCTGGCAGTGTGGCTCAGATGCATACTCGTTTTCATACATCTAATGATTTCAGCATACAGCCTCTTCGTGGAAGAATAGCACAGTAAATATGCATTTACTTATAACAACAAATGGAAAGCTGAAAGAGCCACCACTAGCATGAGAAATTACGCAAATGAAGAATTCAACATAGCTTCAGTCGAGAATAGGAGGACAGCATATCATGAGCTATATCTAAAGTTTTCAGAACGAGGATACTGATGCAAGTATGGTTCCCCTCATCTCTGCACCATTGACCTTGATGGACGAGTAAAACGATGTAGGGTTTGAAAAAAACCCAGCATCTACCAACAACTTAACCTTGTTGACCGTCTCATACGCAACAGTGAGCGCTGCGTTATCTGTAACCGTGCATGCATAGGAGTTGAAGGTTTCAAGCTTGAAAAAGCATGGGAAATCAACCAAGAGGGCGAGACTGCTGTTGGTGTAGTACCCAGGGCTGGTGAATATGGGGGTTGGGAGCCGAGGAACTCCGTTCATGCGGAACACGAAGGTCGCATTCTGAAAGGCAGCCGTGCTGAACGTGGTGGTGCGGGATAAGACACACATGAATGCACTGACATTAGTGACATCGAGAGATGTATAACAGCTGGAGCATTCAGCTGAGAGTGTTGGGTGAAAGGTCGTCAAAAGTGCAGATGGGAAAATATGGATTAGCTGGGAAAATGGATGTTTCGAAGTGATTGGAAAGCTGAGCTTGGGGTAGCAGAGCTTACACGTTGATATCCACGCTAAAACTGCCATTAAGGTTAGTGGAAGTCGTAGAGGTGGTGGTAGTCGATCTGAGAACAGGGGGATGCGAGAGGCGCTTGTATGTGAGTCAATTTAGAATTAAAAACTTGGAAGTATCGATACGTGTATCGAGATGACTTGATTTGAATCAGAAGTCTTTTTTGCTGCAGAACTATCGTTCCTGAAACCTCAGCACAGCAGTTGCTACTGCTTATAGCACGGGACTACTTGGGTGTGGGGGAAAGTGCACTTACGTGTTGCTGGTGGTGGTGGTTGTAGTGGTAGAAGATGATACTTTCGTGAGCGTTGACTTCGCTTGGACTGCAGTGACGAATAGTGGGATGAAAAGATAAACAGAAAAGGAGGTTAAAAGCTGCACGGAGAAAAGGTCTTTGGCAATGTGGCTGGTTTGGATTGGGTTGGTCCAAACGAGCCAGACGGCCGACTTATAGTGCTATTCAGACTGTCTTACAGCGTATAATCTTACGACGCGTATTGGACTGTCTTACAGCGCGAAGTGATGCCTGTCTGGAGCAGGTGACGCGCGGAAGACGCGCAGGAGACGAGAGAGAGCAGCGCTGGGGAGGGCGAGCGATCGTGGGAGAGGGAGGGAAGTGGGAGGAAGGGAAAACAACGTTACTCGACGATTTGGCTCCAGTAGGGCGTTTCAGACGTCGTGATATCTTGCGAGAGAGAGGGAGTCGCGAAATCTTGAAGACGCCAGACAGAGAGCGCAGCTTTCTGGAAAAGGAGGTGGTTCGGATTCTGATGGTGCGACGTCCGTTGGGTGGAGTCATAATGATTATGACTCTTCCAACAGCTGCTGGATACTGGTGAGAAAAATTATGCAGCGGTGGCCTCGTTAACTTTTCTGTTCGTCAGCGCATCTCATGGAAGAAGAGACGGGATTCTGCATGCTGCGACGTTCCCGGAAGTGTGTTGCGGTTTCGCCAGCAGATGCGTAGGCGGCCTCACGAACTTCAAATATTTTCGTTCATCGATCGCAATTAGAGACACAGTTGAGCAGAACCCCCAGCCTCGGCAAGATGCTTTTGAGAGTTCTCAAGAAACCCTGCATGCTTCGCGAAACATTTGAAAGGCTGAGTCACAGCGTAAAACCCAGCAAACGCCGGCTCAGCAGCAAAGATGGAATGAAAAAACAAAGAGGCTCCTGAAAACGATAATCAATACCAGCAGAAAATGCGTTCAGCGCGGCGTTACCAAGGAAAAGGGCGGCAGGAAAATCGAGAACTAGACCTAGACGCTTACCAGCAAGGGCGAAAGCTAGTCGCAGGAGGAGTGACGTCCGGGCCATGCTGGTGTTTACAGACAGAACTACTGCCCTGGTACCGATGTTGTGTTCGAAGCGAAGCTGCGAATGAAGAGTCAGAGGCAAGCTCCCTGGCACTGCGAGGGATTCTGAACTTGAGTGAGACGCTGAGAGGAATGGAGTGAAAGAAGTGAAAGAAATGGAGTGAAAGGAAAGGAACGCCTTAATTTATAGTCACAGTGTTTGCAACAATGGCGTCCGATGCGGCGGCGTAGCAGGTTCAATGCGATGCGTGAAATGTGGTAGGGGAGAGGTTTGCGTAGAAACGCAGTCCTGAGGAAACGAATTCCTCGGGAAATTCACCTGAAGGGGATACATGTCCTGCGCATTAGACATTGTGATGCTCGGATCCGAGTCGCAAATCTCAGGTGCGTCCGCGATTGGTGCTGCTCGGGCAATGCAGTGCGCGTAGGACGGAAGATATTTGTAATTTGGGCAGATTGATCACACTTGCCATTTGCTGCCACGCGTCGTCCCAAGCGCCGCAATTCGCGCAGGGAAAAATGAAAATCTCCAGAAATCCGCGAATAAACCGTGACACCGAGCAACATCCCACAATTCGTAGAGGCAAACACTATGTCAAACTAGATTCAGATAAGTCACCTCATTTTCCTAACTACCGCAACGTGTACCACAAATCCTCATTTTCCCTTCTGCAGGCCTTTCAGGAAGCTGAGAGACACATAGAGGCTGAATCTAATACCAACAGCATTGTGAGGATCTTGCAGGGAGGCATAGCAAATCATGTTGGTGTCAAACTATATACGGTATATGCTATGGTATAATGGGTAGGCTACAATTGGGTAGCCAACATGGGGTACAGCCCCGGGTTTTGTACTTGTACCAAATCTCTCCATAGTTCACATCATTCCTGCTTGTTGATTCTTGTTGCGATCAAAAGGTGATCGTGTCCTAGGATCTACTCAGGAAGGTTCGCAGACAGGGTAGTGATGTTGGTGGGCCCTTGACCTCAATAGCAGAGTGAATGTAAATGCTTGAAATGATTAAGACGTGCATACATCGAGTTTATATAAGAGTGCAGGGGAATACGAAAAGTCCTAGGCTAGCCATGTACTCTAAGGGGTACATTCCCTTATTCGAATACATCCCAAATCTGCGGCGCGGACAGTTATGAAACTGACCCCACCGAAACCATCCTGTCTGCAACTGCCCGATGCTCTCTGTTCCGACGGTTCAGATGAGTTCCAACCGTCTGACGATTCGCGTTCATTCGCGATACTGCGTGCTTCCCTCTTTTGCTGCGGTGAGGAGTGTACAGTAATATTCAAGTATTACTTTTCGTAACACCCCCCTTCGCTCCTGGCCGCAGCAGCTTGACCTGGTTGACCACGCCGCTGAGTTCGGAGCAGTGCTGATACTGCTGGCGTGCCAGTCGCTTCGTGAGAAAGTCTGCTGCCATGTCACCGGTCGGGGAGTAGGTCAAGTTGACCTTGCCCTTGTCTACTTCATCTTTCACGAAGAAGTACCGCAACGCGATGTGTTTGGTGCGATTGACGAAGCCAGGTTTGTTTGCAATCCGAATCGTGCTCTGGTTATCGCAGTGTAGGCGAAAGTTCGTTGAGGCCGGAATTTTTGCCTCCTGCAGCAGTTCGTGAAGATAGAGACCTTCGCGAACAGCTGCTGTTGCTGCGATGAATTCAGCTTCCGCTGATGACAGGGCAACCAGCTCCTGCTTCTGAGAATTCCAGGAGATGGGGCCGCTGGGCTCGAGTCGAAAGAGGAACCCTGTCTTGGACCGTCGATTGTCAGGGTCAGCGGCGTGATCGGCATCCACGTAGCCGACAAGACTGAAGGATGTGGTTGGGATAGTGGAGTAGCTGAGCCCGACATTGGGCGTGGAGACGAAGAATTGAAGGGCTCGCTGTGTGGAAACAAAGAACGAGGATGGAATGACTATGAACGAAGTGAGTACAAATAGGAAACCCTAATTGGGTTGTACCCCCTATGGGATACCCCACTATAGCCTACAGAAACAAGTAAGCTATAAGTTCTGACACACCCCCATAGGCAAAGTGGGGGAGAACAAGGGGTCACAAGACCAGTCAAGCAAAGCAAAGCAAAGCTCAGGGTGGATCACAAAGTCACCACGCATTCCGAGCACAAGTTCAAAGGCCACAAGGCCAGTTCACATGCAAGATCATATATAGAGATATACAAGAACAAGAGTATATATATGCGAAAGTACAAGCAAGGTCAAGAGGAGAGCAAGTGAGGCAAGACAGGCACAAGACCCAACTGCGTGCAGCAACGCTGATGATCACAAGGCGCAAGTGCCTTGGTGAAGACATCAGCAGTGTTGGCCTCAGAGGCCACGTACGCAAGTCGCAGCTGTCCACGCTGCTGTAGCTCACGAGCAAGAAAGTAACGAAGAGCAATGTGCTTCGTTCTGTGCTCCAGTCGCTGCTCTCGACACAAGGCCAGCATGGCCTTGTTGTCTACGTACAGGACTGGAGGAGAACGAGGCTGCTCTCCAAGGTCGGTCAGCAGGTAGGTGAGCCAGCGTAACTCCTGTGCAGCCATAGCCCCAGCGTAGATCTCAGCCTCACAACTGGAGCCGAGAACAGAAGACGAGCGGGTAGCCCGCCACGAGACAGAGCCGGAACCAAGGCTGAAGGTGTAACCCTGTGACGACCGCTGCGTAGCCTGGTCGTCAGCCCAAGAAGCGTCTGCGTGCCCAGTGAGGACCACTGGACTGCGCCCTCCAAGCACTAGCCCCATGCCCGACGTACTGCACAAGTAGCGCAACACCCTCTTCGCTGCAGCCATGTGCTCTGGTCGGTGTCTCCCAGGAGCAACAAAGCGTGCGAGAATGCTAAGAGGGTATGCGAGGTCAGGTCGTGTGCAGGTCATCAGGTACATGAGGCAGCCAACAAGCTCTGCAAACGGGCCACTCGACTCTACGGACTCATCCGAAGGCAGAGCTGAGAGCGAGTGGCGAGTAGGCAGAGGAGTGGCCTGAGGCGAGGAGTACGTGAAGCCGAAGCGCTGAAGGACCTGCTGCACCATGTGTGACTGAGTCAGGGTAATGGTGCGGCGTGCTCTGTCCCGGGTGATCTGCAAGCCAAGGTAGCTGCGCAGTTCACCCAGGTCAGTGCACGTGTGTCTCTTCTGCAGCTCGGACTTCACGTAGGCGAGTCCAGCAGTGTCAGCTGTGGCAAAGACCAAGTCGTCGACGTACACGAGGATGTAGAACGGCGGCAGAGAGGTGTCGGTGCGCAGAAACAGCGACGGGTCGGCAGTGGAAGGAGCAAACCCAAGTGCCGCGAGCGTAGTCCTCAGTGTGTCGTGCCACTCACGTGGCGCCTGGCGGAGACCGTAGACTGGACGCCGGAGACTCCACTGGGTACCAGGAGGGAAAGACCCAGTGAAGCCAGGTGGGCGACGCAGCCAGATCTCCTCGTGCAGGCTGCCCTGCAAGAAAGCTGTGCTGAAGTCGAGAGAGTGCAGCTCGTAGTCACGGTGAGCAGCAACGTGTAGCAGAACCCGAAGAGTGGTCATCTTCGGGGTGGGGGAGAAGGTCTGAAAGTAGTCAACCCCCTGCCGCTGACTGAAGCCACGAGCCACGTAACGCGCCTTGAAGACAGGCGGAGAACCCGGCGGCCGCTTCACCCTGAAAATCCACATGCCACTGACGATGTTCGCCCCAGGAGGGGGAACAGCGTCAACGTAGGTGCCTGTGGACTTCCAGGAAGCCATCTCTGCATCCATAGCTGCCTGCCACTGAGAGGAGTAGGGACCCTCTATCGCCTCCGCGTAAGAGCGCGGAGTCGGGATGTCTGGTGCATCCGGGTCTCCCTCAGGGGCTAGCAGTACAGACGCGAGACGAGGTGAAGCGGCGGCCAGACACTGGAACTCCTCCTGCCTGTCCTCAAGGACGTCCGTGCCAAGGGCACACTCACCCCCGACGGACGGAGGACAGGCGGACTCAGACTCAGTGACAAGACGAGCAGCGTAGTCTAGACGACAGCGCGCAGCAAAGTCGACAAGCTCAGTGACAAGGGCAGACGCAGCAGACGACTCGAAGGAGGGGTCAGTGACAGCAGTAGCTAGGAGACGCGTGACAGTAGGACTGGCAGCACGAAGGGCGTCCGACTCCGGGTCGGCAAGAGCAGGAAGAGAGGAAGCAGGAGGAGAAGGCAAAGGGGCACGCAGAGGAGCAGTGGACGGACGCAGTGACATCCGGTGCGTGCCAGGGACAGGAGGAGGACGCTGACGCGACCCGCGACC